CGTTTACATATGCTGGGTGCAAATCGAATTTACCAGCTGCTGGCGAAATAATTCAATAAAATCGTGCTGGCTAAGCTCCGGATCCCGGATCGACATGCATGCAAAAAAAAAAGAAGCACCGACCAAGAACCGCAGTCCCCTCCAGTTTCTTCACAAATGAAATTTAATTTCAGCATGCAGTTTGATGGGGCAAGTGGAGCTAGAACCCAACTAACCCGTAGCCAAAGCCAACCAACGAAAATAACTGCAAGATATATTAATAGAGCGAAAATTCATATGAAATTTTAATATGCAAACGGGAAAAAAAGCCAAAAGAAGGAAAGGGACATGGCAGAAGGAAAATACCCATACTCTTAGATATGAAAGGGAGTCGGGAGTCGGGAGTCGGAGAATCCCAAAGTAACCAAGCATGTAAATCGAATGTGCGAGCACTTTGGGTTTGCCTTGGAGTTTGGAGCACGGAGTTTCGACCAGACATCGATAGTCTAACGAAAAAATGCTGCAAAAAATATGAAAACGAAGACAGCCATGTGGTCCAGAGTTTTTTTTTATTTTTTGGCCAGACAACGGAAAAAATTGTGCATATTATCGTAAGGAGAGTGAGATTAAAAATGGTAATAGATTCGTGCATGAGGTCTTATCGACAACTTCAAGTTTGTCTGCCTGAGAGTTGACAGAGTCGTTGAAACTTGAAATGAACACTACAATTTCTAAGAATATTGCCATATATTCTTCCAACTTGAAGCAGCACTTGAAAAGTTTCCAAACTAACTTTATACGATCTTGTTCTATTCAGCTCCGTTCACCCGAAAATAGAGCACTCGCATTACGTATACGCAGTGTGGCCCGCAACAACACGCCAAAAATACGACACAGATGTGTGCCTGCCTGGTGCCACACTTTCGCCGCCAATGTCAATGCCGCCGCCACCCCACCGAACCACCAAACCACTAACCAGTAGAGGATGCAACGCCACGCAAATGGGAGTCCAACACTCGCCCCAATGCCACAGATACAATAGGTGCACGGAAAACAATTCCAAGGGTTTAGGAATTCATTACCTGCTTGGGCCTTAGTCAGCAGTATGGAACTTAAGATTATTTTAAAATATTAATTCCTTATTATATATTTTAGTTTCTGAAATCTTACATATATCATTAAGGAATCTTTAGTTTTTGGAAGTGTACTGCCAACAGTCAACAGGCAGCTGGTGGCACGCGACCAAAGCCGGGAAATGCAGTCTGGCAGGCGGCAGCACGTTCGGCTCGGTTTCCCTGCTGGATGCTGGGCCAAAAATAACAACCGACATGGCCCAGACGGAGCAGCGCAGTGGAGGACAGGGCCACGGCCACGAATGGTCGCCGTTTTGGGCGTTTTGTTTGACCAAAAACTGCAAGCAGCCAACTGGCGGAAGGTCGCAGTGGCAACAGAATTTCATTAGACCGGCAGACGATGCAAATTACCAGCCAGAGGATGCAGATGCTGGACGGTTCTAGGCCAGAATGCTGCTCCGCCACTTGGCCATTATTGAAAGCGAAAGCCTGGTCGTGGATTTGGGTGTCTAGTGTGCTTGTGTATGTCGAGGCGGGAAGTGTGCGGAGTGTGGTAATCATGTAATCGGTCTATCATTGCTGGTTATGCAAGTGGCTAACTGCAATTAGAGTTCGCAGGACAATCAACTTGTCAACGCAAATTGCAGCTACAAATTAGACAGCTGTCATGGAATTTTAATCAGCCGGAGTGGGTGACTGCCGAAACGTGGCTGTTTGGTTGGTAAATGAAAGGCCCTTAATTATAGTGACTTTTTTAGGAAATTTTGCAGGCCATGGTTGTTATTATAGTCTATGGAAAGTATAGTTTTATAAAGAAAGTGCTTGGTTTATGACTTAAGCTTCTTGGTTATGACCAAGATTGCTTTAAGTTATACCTAAAATCATATACCTTCTTTAAGATTGCTGTCCTGATATAACAACACAATATCCCCTACCAAAATTTTCCGAAACCTACAGCTACTTATTCGTCCATGTCGGAGGAGGGCTACTTAACCCTACGAGCACAACTGTACCCCAAAAAGAACAAAGCCGGCTAAATGAAGGGCATAGAAAAATGAAGCAAAGTACACACAAAAAATGCAAAAAATGGGGAAAATGTGAGAAAAAATGGGAAGCTAAACGAAAAAACCCAACACATGCATACGCTAAAAAGTTTGCCCACTCGACGACAGACGCCTGAGAAAAGGGGTGGAGGAGGGGGAGGAGGCCCAGACGGGGGATAGAGGGAGCGAATGAGAGGCCGAATGCAACTTGGATACACGTAGACACTGGGGGAACGGGTCGTAGGTCAGGTCGAGGCACAGGGAAGGGGATTCCAGGGGCATCCGATGTGATGTGATGTACATGGGAGCATAGAGCATGTAGACAACTGGCAACAATAACGGCATTTTCGATGCGGAGAGGCGACGTTGACGAAAAGGACGCCCATACACGTTGAAAATTAATGTCAAAAAAATATGAAGTATACGTATTCAAAGAAAAATGCCCCATTTTATGAAATTCATTCAAAGATCCATATTTACAATTACGATTATTACATTAAAAATTCGATTGACTAGACTTTCTAATTAATTAATACATTTATAATATTCCTAATATTCCATATACGCTATACTTCCTAAAACTTAGATAGAATTTAGTTTCTGTGTAAAAAAGTGGGAGGCGGGAGTCGGCAGTCGGCAGTCGGCAGGCGGATGGGTGGAGACTTCAAGGGGCAGGGGAGTTGCTTGTCGACGACGAGTTGCCAACAGCCACTTGACACTTCCGTCGTCACATGAATGGAGCCGTAAAAATGCGACGCTGCTGCATTCGTTTCATTTTCGTACTTTCGTTCTCCTTTTCTAAATATTTTTTGTGTTTTTTTGGATAGTCAAGGGGGTGCGGCACTTTTTTATATTTGGCCAGGAAAACGCCGGAACAGGAGGTGGGTATGAAGCAAATACATTCATGCATAATTTTTATGGCACTTTGAGTGATAGGGATAGACCGCCGCCCCACCCCTACTATACCATCCATTTGGGATGCCAAAACGTTTTGGGAACATGCTTTTTTTCGAGAGCAATGCATTCACTTAAATGGGAAGCTCCAAAGGGAGTCGCAGCTGGAAAATCCAAGGCGAGTCATTAACGCAACAACAAAGTGATGATTAGTCGGGGGCTGTGTTGAGTTCTTGCGGTTCAATGTACGCCCAAAAGCAAATAGGCTGAGGGCACACACAGTCAGGCCGCTCGAACAGAAGTGCAAACACACGCACACGAATTCGTTTCAACCGGGCTAGGCGCCAAGGTAGGTCAGGGAAGGGGAGTAGGCTCGACCAGGCGATGATTGCTTTGCAAACTACATGAAAAAATCCAAAAAATATACAGTGGAAGTTCGAAAATGGATATTTTTCAGTGTGGTATTTAGCTAAAATAAAAAGAGAGTCTCTTTTACTTAAATATTTTTTTTTAATTACTCTTTAATGTCTTAATTTATTAATGTCTTATTATGACTGTAGATTTGGATCTAAATCGGCTACTGGTGGCCACTGCTCAACGTTGCATGCCAAGTGGCACGCACTTTGAGGGATCGCCCCTCCGGAGTCCGGACAGAGGGCAAACACATGTACAAACATCCATCCATCCACTCCCGAAACGCAGACAACTCCAAAGAGGGTACTTCTCCTGCTTCTTGGCGCTTTTTTCGGTTATGATTGACTGAGTTCTGTTGAAACTTTGGCGTCTGCTGGCACGCATGAAGTGCAATTTTCGAGTAACGAAAACCCGATTCGGTCGGAGAAGGGAGTCGGGAGGAGCTCACAATTAGCACTTTTCGACCATTGGCGGGGCTTTGAGTGGTTCAAGTTGCTGCTGCTGTGGCTTCCTGATAAGCTGTTGCCTTGACGGAGGCGCTTGAACCCACTGCAAGGCTCCCTCCTCCATCGCCTCCATGATCTTCGCTTCTCGCTCCCGTAGTCACCATGTGGTGGCAATTTCTAGGTGCAAATAGTTTTGCGGCCTAAAAGTGACAAGGCAACGCCTTCCATTCCCGCACGCCTCCGGGAAAAACTCTTCTTTTTCGTCGATAACAAAGTTTGCCAACCAAATCGGCCATAAAATGAAAAAGCAAAGCCCAAAAGCAAAGCCTATTTACGCACCAGAACTCAACTGAACTCCTCCGCGGCACAGTACATTATAAGATAAACATTTTTTTTTTACTTTTTCATTTGGCAAATAACATAAAAGCGTTGAACTCACTCGGAGACCACACAGTGAAATATTCGCCTATAGAATCTTCAACGTACATATCTATATATATATAGGGATTTATAATTGTTGGGGCAGTGGCGACGACTTGGAGCGCTACAATGCCGTAGAATCCATCGAGAATTATGGATATTGTTAATAAATTTTAAGGGTAATAGTTCAAATTTGCCATTAAGGGTATATTCTTAAAATAATAAATTATTGATCATATATAGGCTTTATTAACTAAGTAAGGGAGAGAAAAACCCATATCTCGTAAGTTTTTGTTGGAAAATAAGAAAAAACCCAATACTGACTTGTATGTGATAAGGAACCCTATTATCCTCTATATGTACTCCACAAACTTCCCCTTTAGAAGGTTTCTGATGCAATAGTTTAAACTGCAATCAATAAACCGATATGCCTAGTAAAAAAAATTCCACTCGAAACCTTCGACGGAGCTACGCACTTCCACGAAATCAAAATAATCACGAGTTGACGTTTAAGTTAAAACAAAGAAAATACCCAACTTCAGACGTTCTGGTTTTATTCAGTCGGTCAATCAAGCGGTCGTTCAGTCAGTCAATTAGTCAGTCAGTTTGTCATCGAGAGGACCGAGTGTTGAAAAGTTTATTGCACTGTGCACGCCTCACTTTTGCTAAGGCAAATATTGTTTAAAAACATTTTTAAAAATAAAATTTACTGATTAAATGGGCAGCGACGACGACGGCGAGGTCCAACGATGGCACAATGACGGTCCTACCCCAAGGCGAAATTATTTGAGTACCGCCGGCAGTCCGTTGACTTTCGATGGTGAGGAATAGAAAAAGGGGAGACGGTTGAGTGGATCAGTCTCGAATGGATTCGGTTTTTTTGGAATGAAAATGTAGTCCGGGCTGGAGCTAGGGTCTCTCTAGCACATCAATAGCTGCATTAAGACGCTGAATCAAATCTAATATCAACACAAACATGAGAAAGTCTTGAAGCGTTTCCTGCGCAAAAAGCAGCATCTGCTGCTGCTTGGGGCTCCCCTTGCTCCACACTAGTTGCTCGTTTAGCAGAGCGTCCTGCAGCGAGCACTCCATGTAGGCGTAGGGATATAGAAATTCCACCGCCAGGCGCCAGAATAGAATGTAAAAAAGGTTGGGACTGCGGATATTAGGATTGTTCAGGGTTAGGATTGTTATATCGATTCCCATTTGAACTTACGGCATAGACAGTTCTGAATATTCGGACTCGTTCTGAAGCTAATTCGTTAAGACTCGTTCGTTTTAATATATTTTTCACAATTTTGCCTTTTTCCAAAACCTACAGTGAGAAATCTATTCCAAGGCCTATTATTTGATATATAACTCGTATTAAATTTGTATGTTTATTATTTTTATTAATTTTAAATTAGGATATTTTATTTTTGAATAAAAAACACATCGCCAAAAACTCTACCTCAAAGTTGTTGCCGAAAAGAGTGATTTTTATTTTTAGGTTTCAAAATTATTTCAGTTGGCAATATTAACCCCACCGCATCCGTAGTAATTCTTAATTTTGATTTTTAATTGATTTTTTAGCTGATATTATCGACTGGTATTTTTTGGTCACAATTCAAATTTTTCCGCTAGAGCTCTGTTCATTTTTAACAGAACAGAAAAAAGACGTGTATAATTTACATCTGTACAAAAAAGAAATTTAACGGGTTTTTGTCTTCGCTATGTTTGAAAGGAACTAAGCTAGGTAGATTACATAGCCTGATATATAAACATTCAAAATAATTTGGTAATTCCCCTTTCTCCAATACCGTTTGTCAATACCGTTTTTGGCATTTAAAGAATTTATTCGGTGCGTTAAATATATTTATTAGCATTAGTAGGCACTACTTGTGTATGCACTACAAATTTCTGCATTGATTTATGTACAAAATAGACTTTACAAAAATATTTAAAAACTTTAAAAGCCACATTGTTAGTTCTTTATTTTGGCAGTAATCCAGTCAGCAATATCCTGTTCGAAAAAATGGTTTACAAAATTTAAAAACCAGGGAAACCAAGCAACAAACCTGAACTCCATCACCCGTTTCCACCGAGCATTCCTTGATTGCCCATTCACGCCCCTCTAGGCGATCCAAGCCCATCATGTCAATTACAGTGGAAGAGGGCAGGGATCCACTGGTGTCCTTTTTATTCGAAACAATAAGCAGGGGAGCTTTGTGGAGCTCCTCATGCAAAAGGACATCGCAAAGGACGCAACGAGCCTCGCCTAGCCGCACACCATCCTTACTATCTATGACGAAAATCTAAGAAGGTGGCTATTTAATGGCTCAGCAGGGTAAAATCTGGAGGATTTCTTACCAAGACCTTTGCTTTTTGGTAGTAATTGGGCCAAAGTTGCCGGTTCTTGAGGTCTCCATTTATATCCCACAATTGGAGTTTCGATTTGTTTACCTTGAAAGTCCATTCGGAGGCTTCTTTGGTAGATTCCTTCGACTGAAATACCATTTTGTACATTACTTGTCCGCAAATAAATAAAGTAGATTCTTACAGCGCCATTTAAGATTCCTGCCAGTCTAGATGTCAGCGTGCTTTTTCCAGCATTGTCTAGTCCCAATATAAGGAGACTGGATCCCTGGGAGCTGAAGGGCAGGACCTTCTTGATAAGCGAAACGGGACCGTGGAAGCACATGGTAATACAATTATTTGGAGTCGTGGTATGCAAGACAACAATCTAGCCACAAAATGCACAAATGTGTAAGGCTTGAAAACAAAGTCAAAGCCTTCTTGGTGAAATTCGGTAACACAAAGCCTTCTCAATCAAATTAATTTATTGGTGAGACCATCTTATAAGAATTAAAGTTACGTATATTTATGATTTTGATCTTAGATACTTAGGAGCTACAAAATACAATGCAACAGGCGAGGATTAAGATTACTTCTTCATGTTTTTGCAGACCCAGTCCATGCCCTCCTTGAGACCGGTGCCATCCGTGGCAGTGCAGGCTTTGATCTCCCAAGTGCGTCCTTGCAGCTGAACCAGACCCATTTTTTCGGCCACCTCGGAGGCACTCATGGCATCGGGCATGTCCTGCTTGTTTGCGAAAATAAGCACAGGGACCTGCTTCAGTCGGTTGTCCATTAACATCTCAAATAGTTCGCTGCCCGCCTCCGGAAGTCGAGCCCGGTCCGTACAATCAATTACATAGATCTTCAACAAACGAAATTTCTGGTTATTTAAAGATTATTAATGTAAGAGAGAGCCTACCAGAACATCCGTATTGGCAAAGTAGTTCTTCCAATAGGGCCGAATCTTCCACTGTCCCCCAATGTCCCAAACATTCAGCTTGAATCCATCGGCTGCCACGGACTTGATGTTAAATCCTGCCGTGGGCGTTACCTGCGGGGGTTCACTCCTTATTTTATGGGACAAAGGCGAACGGAGCCAGTTCGCAGTTTTTTTCATACAAACCGTGGTAATGTCCTCCGAAGCCAGTTGCTTCAGGATTGTCGTCTTGCCGGCATTGTCCAGTCCGAGGAGCAGGATGCGAGCCTCCTTCTCTGGGTTGGGACGCAGTTTGCGTAGCAGCGAAAGGAGACCCTAAAACGTATTGAATATGTTCTTATAGTTTTTATTTATATTTCGATCGGATATTTTTTAGGCATTTAAAGTACTTACTCCCAGCCTGGAATTTCTTATTAGAAACAAGCGTATATTAATAGAATTAATATATGATTTATAAATATTTTTAAGAATATTAAAAAACTCAAAACATATGATTTGGAAAAGATGGTCGTGTAAATTCAATGGGAAACTTAATTTAAAGTTTGAAATTTTAAAGCGCGCCAAAGTTTTTGGTAGTGTTGGGAAAAAGCTAAAGACCATCGTACTGGCAACCCTCAAGTTCATATGTTTTGTTCGCAGCTGTTACCATAACAACCGATCGCGGAACGAAAACAAATAAAAAGTTCGAATAACAAACTAATAATTAGCTGTTATGGCATCCAGAGATAACCTACCATCCTATATAGTCCAGTTAGTTACGAAGACACTCGAACCGGCAAGATTTTGACAATCGCCACTGCACCACAATTCAGTGGATGACCTGGAGAGGCGTCTTTTGGTGAAGAAGTCAGGTAAACTCAGGTAAGTCGAAATCAACCACCAAACACAACATCACAGGTTCAGCGCCGTCCAGCAACTAAACAAATTCTCGCAACGCTCCAACAAATTCCAGCAACAACAAGGCGTCGCCTGCGCAACCGCTGGCGAGCACTGCAGAGGTGGAGAAGGAGGAGCTGGAGAAGGTTGGGGTGGTGCGCCGGTCAGGAACGAAATTGGAACGGGAAGATGCGACGACTGCTATTTACGGGTTTCAACGCATTTGGCCAGCATGAATTTGTAACCGGCGAGACCGACTGCGCTGCCGGCTTCAGAGGTTTGTAAGCGGCAACAAAAGCCAACCGCGATCACTTTAATTATATGTACAGTAGTCATTCCCTAACTGGAATGTCAGACAAAACAATGTCCCATTATAAAACCTGTAGGCATTAGGCAACCCAACCTGTACCGAGCATACTAATCACTTAAGTTTTTATTACAGAAATAAATACGCCACTGTCAGAACAAAACCAGTGCACGATTTCGGTCGGCTGGCGGTATTCCGCCCTCGCCTTGGGCCGGAAGTTGTATCTGCGTGGGCTTCTGGAGACCGAGCCTCACGAGTGCGTGACCCTCGAAGCGGTGGACAACATTAAAGCCCTGGCCGCCGGTGAAGCCTACTGTTTAGTGCTACTTCATACCGGTCAGCTGTACAGGGTTCCACTCAAAACAAAAACGGAACTGCAGCCCGTACGCCTGGAAGCTCCGCCCAGACCAAATTCGGCGACAAAACGTTCTATTTTTGGGACAACCAAGGCAAAACCTGGATTGCCGATTGTCGAGCACATAGCCTCCGGATCACACATAAACGTAGCTGTCAGCTCAGAAAACGCAGTCTACAGTATTCCAAGCTGCCTGCACCAGTTTCCCGGTCGCCAGTTTCGGGTAAATCAGCTGGAATGTGGTCACGAGCACGCCGTGCTCCTAAACGGAAACGGTGACGTCTACAGCTGGGGGAATGGACTGTAAGTTGGGTACTTTTAATGCCTTTAATTGAGCGAATATACTAAATAAGGGGGTTGTCCAATATTTACAAACAATATATTGGAAACGTTTGATAAAATAAGTAAAAAACAAACATAAATTTAAGCTTTAGAAACTAACAACTGGATTATATAGAACATTTTCTGTCATTAACAACGTCTTATATATCATGTTTTTTGCACAACTGTGATAATTTACAGACGTGGACAGTTGGGTCAGAGCGTCTTGAAGACGGAGGAGACGCCACATTTACTGGAGGCGCTAGCAGGCATCAAGGTATGAATTTTAAGTACATAAAGAGTAAACAACGCTCTTATCGTAGCTATCACTCTCGAATTCGTCCAACAGATAACCCGTATTGCTGCCGGCGGTTGGCACAGTGCAGCCATATCCGCCTTTGGAGACCTCTACACCTGGGGACTGAACTGCAGTGGCCAGCTTGGCATACGCGTGATGAAACCTGGCGGATTGCTAAAGGAGCCCACTGTATACCCGCTGCCCCAGTTGCACGATCTGCCTGAGTGCAGCTGCTCCAAAAACCAGGAGAGTAGCAGCGATGACTGTGCACCATGGAGGGTGTTTGCCGGTTCGCGTCACACACTGCTGATTCGACGCTGCGGGGGGCTATGGGTCAGCGGTTGGAGCAAGTATGGGCAGTTGGGCCAAAGGTCTGACCGACAGGTAGAATACCTGGATGACTTTGAGGCTCTGGAAGGAATAATATTGAATCAAGAGACTGATCAAATTATTTGTGGCCCGTGGTCTACGCTGCTTTCTGCGAATATCGAGCTGGGTGGTAGAACCCGTAGATGACGAACTGAATGACCTTAATTTGAGCGGGAACTCCAATCTGAATAAATTATGAAAATATTTGTAACTATTTTAATGGTTTTATTTCACTAAATGTGGGCTACCGGGGACATTGCAGTCTCCAGATAAAATACATTTCTCTTATAACATTATAATTTTAAATTCGCTTCAATTGGCACCACAACTATCTCAATCCAACCCCAGCAATAAGGAAAATTGGGAGAGCTATGGCCATCGAAAGGAGCAAAAGTTGGCAAATTAGAAAAACCCACAATTTCATGGGGGTTTCCCTTGGAAAAAAAATCGAAAAATTTGAAAACTATATTCAAGCAATGTTTTGAATGAGCCACTGCGTAGGCCATATCTTTGGAAATATTCATCCGATTCTTGAACGGAATACCTTAAACGATTTGTGGATCGATTCTCCATAAATCTGCATCCAACTCTGGGAACAAAATATTTTTAAGATTTTTTGTCAAATTTTCTGGGCTGTCCCCTTCAAAATGTGCAGAATGCATGGGGAGCCCCATATGACCCACTGCGAAGGCCATATCTTAGGAAATATTCATCCGATTCTTGAGCCGAATACTTTAAACGATTTGTCGATCGATTCTCCATAAATCTGCATAAAAATCTGGGAACAAAATATTTTTAAGATTTTTTGTCAAATTTTCTGGGCTGTCCCCTTCAAAATGTGCAAAATGCATGGGGAGCCCCATATGACCCACTGCGAAGGCCATATCTTAGGAAATATTCATCCGATTCTTAAACGGAATACCTTAAACGATTTGTGGATCGATTCTCCATAAATCTGCATCCAAATCTGGGAACAAAATATTTTTAAGATTTTTTGTCAAATTTTCTGGGCTGTTCCCTTCAAAATGTGCAGAATGCATGGGGAGCCCCATATGACCCACTGCGAAGGCCATATCTTAGGAAATATTCATCCGATTCTTGAGCCGAATACTGTAAACGATTTGTCGATCGATTCTCCATAAATCTGCATCAAAATCTGGGAACAAGATATTTTTAAGATTTTTTGTCAAATTTTCTGGGCTGTCCCCTTCAAAATGTGCAAAATGCATGGGGAGCCCCATATGACCCACTGCGAAGGCCATATCTTAGGAAATATTCATCCGATTCTTAAACGGAATACCTTAAACGATTTGTGTATCGATTCTCCATAAATCTGCATCCAAATCTGGGAACAAAATATTTTTAAGATTTTTTGTCAAATTTTCTGGGCTGTCCCCTTCGAAATGTGCAGAATGCATGGGGAGCCCCATATGACCCACTGCGAAGGCCATATCTTAGGAAATATTCATCCGATTCTTAAACGGAATACCTTAAACGATTTGTGTATCGATTCTCCATAAATCTGCATCCAAATCTGGGAACAAAATATTTTTAAGATTTTTTGTCAAATTTTCTGGGCTGTCCCCTTCAAAATGTGCAAAATGCATGGGGGGCCCCTTTTGCCCCACTGCGTAGGCCATATCTTAGGAAATATTCATCCGATTCTTGAACGGAGTACTTTAAAGGATTTTTAAATAGATTCTCCATAAATCTGCATCAAAATCTGAGAATAAAATATTTTAAAGATTTTTTGTCAAATTTTCTGGGCTGTCCCCTTCAAAATGTGCAGAATGCATGGGGAGCCCCATATGACCCACTGCGAAGGCCATATCTTAGGAAATATTCATCCGATTCTTAAACGGAATACCTTAAACGATTTGTGGATCGATTCTCCATAAATCTGCATCCAAATCTGGGAACAAAATATTTTTAAGATTTTTTGTCAAATTTTCTGGGCTGTTCCCTTCAAAATGTGCAGAATGCATGGGGAGCCCCATATGACCCACTGCGAAGGCCATATCTTAGGAAATATTCATCCGATTCTTGAGCCGAATACTTTAAACGATTTGTCGATCGATTCTCCATAAATCTGCATCAAAATCTGGGAACAAAATATTTTTAAGATTTTTTGTCAAATTTTCTGGGCTGTCCCCTTCAAAATGTGCAAAATGCATGGGGAGCCCCATATGACCCACTGCGAAGGCCATATCTTAGGAAATATTCATCCGATTCTTAAACGGAATACCTTAAACGATTTGTGTATCGATTCTCCATAAATCTGCATCCAAATCTGGGAACAAAATATTTTTAAGATTTTTTGTCAAATTTTCTGGGCTGTCCCCTTCGAAATGTGCAGAATGCATGGGGAGCCCCATATGACCCACTGCGAAGGCCATATCTTAGGAAATATTCATCCGATTCTTAAACGGAATACCTTAAACGATTTGTGTATCGATTCTCCATAAATCTGCATCCAAATCTGGGAACAAAATATTTTTAAGATTTTTTGTCAAATTTTCTGGGCTGTCCCCTTCAAAATGTGCAAAATGCATGGGGGGCCCCTTTTGCCCCACTGCGTAGGCCATATCTTAGGAAATATTCATCCGATTCTTGAACGGAGTACTTTAAAGGATTTTTAGATAGATTCTCCATAAATCTGCATCAAAATCTGAGAATAAAATATTTTAAAGATTTTTTGTCAAATTTTCTGGGCTGTCCCCTTCAAAATGTGCAGAATGCATGGGGAGCCCCATATGACCCACTGCGAAGGCCATATCTTAGGAAATATTCATCCGATTCTTGAGCCGAATACTTTAAACGATTTGTCGATCGATTCTCCATAAATCTGCATCAAAATCTGGGAACAAAATATTTTAAAGATTTTTTGTCAAATTTTCTGTACCCTTCAAAATACCCTTCAATGTACCCTGAAAAAATTTTGCCCACTGGGCCTTTTTCCTTAAATCCGCCACTGGTACTTGGGTATTTGAAAACTATATTCAAGCAATGTTTTGAATGAGGAAAGTCGCTTCTGGGTTTGCTGATTACCGAATGGAACTTTATTTCCTGATCGGATACAAATTGACAGAGCTATGGCCATCGAAGGGACCAAAAATGAGGAAACTAGGAAAACCCACAATTTTGCGCTCTTAGTTATTCATCCGTTATCAATACAATTTAGTAACTAACTACTTTGTTTACTTTGTAAATGTTTTACTATTTCTGAGGAAGTGATAGTGAAGACGAGAAGAGAAGGTAATCAATGAATTCATTGAAAAGGTTAAGTTATAATATTCCAACGTTGCAAATTGGAATAAACCGATTGATTATTGAATACTGATTGTTCATTAGCTCAATTTTAATTAAGAAAGTGTGTTCAACGTATGTATATTATATGCACTGATTATGCGACCTTCGCAGATTCTAGGCTGATTCGCAAACGTAATGTGTTTTGGTCCATCTAGGGATGAATAATACTGAAGTAAACAAATCAAATTTCTCAGTTTAAGTTCTACTTTTGCCGCTGCAATGCGTTGCACTCTAGTGCTACTGTTTATTCCCGCACTGGTCCTGAGATCGTGTCTGTCCAGAACCATTTCCAGCACGGAGAAGTCTCTGGAGTCAAGTGGCTTGACTAGCGATGAATCCATTGTTTGGCCGACAGACCTGATCCACTTTCCTCAAGCATACACTCTAATGCACAAGGTGGAGAAGCGCTTGGAGCGGATTGGCGATGAGGAAAGCAGGAACCGGATTATGAACCATACCGTGGATGAGTTAAGGAAGTGCAAGCTTGATTTCCAAATGTACGAGCTCTGTATTAAGCGATCTGTTCCTTTTACTATGTCTTTTATTTCGAACCAACAAAGGAAACAAATACTTGTCCAGCGAAGAAAGGACCAAACATTATCAAGTTCAGAGTAGTTTTGTCAAATATCGTTGTGAGTTGTTAAGCAAAAAGTGTTGCATTCTAAATTATAAAAACAAGAAAAATATATATATATTTTGTATGAATCAAAACAAAAACTACTCAAGGAAATTAAAAATAATTGCCAACGGAAAAATTCGAACATAAAAACAATATTTTAGAGTTTACTGCCTGAATAGGGTGAAGGAAACTTCTGTTGCTCATCTCGCATACGTTCCTTTTCCATTTTGGCAAACTTGCTCCTATGATAGAGTTGCTCCTTGAAGCGATTCTTCCTTCGCTCGTCCATGCTGTACCGCCGCAGCATGTCCCGCCGGTCCACAATCGACATGCTGATGTCCTGGCAGTCCCGCGATGGACGGCAGAAGGTCCAGGATCCGAAAATTGTATCCACACAGCCGCAAGTGCGACAATAGCCAACAAAATGACCAATCAGGCTAGAATTCATCTGGCGGAAGGAGAGTGAAACAGGGCCACCCTGGATCATGAGGGCATGCCCCGAAAACCGCCAATCCGTGATATTATCCAGCAGCTCGTGGGGCCTTGGCGGCACAGTCTCTTGAACACTGATGTTCAGCGGAATTCCTGTTGGATTTTTCAACTCATTTAAATTCTTCAATTGCGTCCTATTCATCTTGACGCAGGTGCGTAGAAATCTTTGAATTTCCTCCCGGGACTTTCGCTTTTTTGGATTGAAACAGGTCGGTATTTCTTTTTTTTCCTCCATGGGAGTCTCGATGAGAGTAGATTTGATGTTTATGCGGACGCCAAGTACTGGAGACTCCCAGGATCCATTGAGGTCACAGGGAGTGCCTGAAAGGAGAGAATACTTAGTAGCCTGAGAAGTTATTGGAAGATTTTACCATCAGCTGGATCCACAAAACAGCACGGCAGTTTCTTCACTTCCTCTTCTGTTTGGTTGCATTTGGTGGCCTGAATCGTCTCCAAACGTTCCAAAATCTTGTCCAGAATTGGCGACATCGGCGACCCCGTCTGATCCAGTTGCTGACATCCCTGAGGCGGACATAGCTGAGGATATGAAGCCGTAAGCAAAGTTTCAGGTCCCTTGGGAAGAACTATTTGGTTTGCTTTCAAAAGAAATTTATTTAGTAAATGAATTGGATAATTTCAGTAAGCTAACCTGCCTGTATCGGCTGCAGGCGTGGTGTGCCTCCAAGGTTTGGACTGTTTCCCACAATTCTTTGGGCCACTTCCAAAGGGGACAAATTCATTTGGGTGGCCATATTATCGAGCACATTAGTGACCCCAGGAGGTGGAACCTGATTGACTAGCACTTCGGGAAATGGAACTGGAAGCCCAATCTCACTCCGAGTAAGACTGTTCCTCTTTGTGTTTGTTTTAGGAGTCTTAGCCTTGTCTATGACCTCTTTCCACCAGCTTTGCTTGGTTTTCAGTGCCTTGTGGAGGTTGTCCATTTGGCTTTCGTACTCATCGAAGAGATTGAAAAAGTTTGAATGCTTAATGGCTTTCATGCCAGTCACAATCTTGTCAGGATCTATGCTGGATGAGAGATCCGGCCAAGGATTCATCTTGCTAGCCAGTAATTTGTTAGCGCTCATTGATGAAGAGTCATCTGATTTAGGTTTGGTTTTCGTAGCAATATCTTCATCCCACTTGATTTCCTGCTTAGGATCAGGATTTTCAATTTTTGTTTCGGTTTTTTTCAGTGGTTCCTCGGTTTTAATATCATCTTTTTGCAAAGGTTTCTGTTGGAGAGGCTTCTCCTCCTTTTCTTTTTCAACATCACCTTTACCTTGAATCGGAGCATCAGGAGGTTTTATTTTCTGTACTTTCTTGTCACTAAATCCCGGCTTTATAAGTGGCACTTCATTCCAAACCAATTGTCGGCTCTTGGAGTTGGGTAAAAAGTAAGGCTTCAGACCTCCATTCTGGTTACTCTCCCTGTTTAGTTTGACAAAGTTGTCCATGGCCTTTAGGTAGTTAATGTTTCTGGAAGGAGCCTTTTCTTCTTTCTTATCGCCCACCAGACATTGAGAAGAATCATTCAAATTCTGGCTTAAATCGCTGTCCAAGAGGTTGTCCGCTTCAAAGGCCAGAAGTGATTGTCTGGGGAACTTATGTTCGTTGAAAAGCTGGCAAAAGCCCTTCTTGTACTCGTCGTAAAGCCCACCAGCTCTGATCGAGGAGCTCCTGGATTTTACATCGGCTAAGACCTTTTTAAAGGCGATGACCGCACTGCCAGGTTCCATATTCTCAAAGAGTCCTGTGAGATCGTTTTTGGAGATGGCCGTTAATGAAGCTCTACTCTCCTTAACCAAATGATTATCGTGCAAGATTTTTTTATCCAGATTTGGCTCCAGTTTCTCGCCTATTTTCCCCGCAAGTTCGCTAACCAAATCCGTTCTCTCCAGTTGCTCCACCACGTCCAAGAGATCTGAGAGGGCGCTGAGCTTTACGGTGCTGGACGTGCTGTCTGGTCTTGTTTTTTTGGCGGAAAACATTTGGCTTGGTCGTTGCCAGGCTCTCAAAATCTCATTGTAAATACGACTCAGCTCCAGGATGCGCCGATCCCCAGAGTCCTTGGGCGGTTCACGCTCCTGTGGAGGCACATCTCCTGGAATATCCAATTTAAGGACAACCACATGGGAAGACTTCTCATTAATACCCTTTACATTTGGAGGTCGGCTGGGACATTTTGCGATACAAGAGGGCCGGTCGTCAGTGAAATCATACTTTATTGAGATGGGAGGTTTCTCCTTACACGAGGGCTCTTTCATCTTTTCGTTCGCCTGGGCAGGATTATTATTTGATTTCTTTAGATTTGGAAGATTATTCAAGCCGTTTCCAAGAATGACGGTATTTTCATATTTAACAGCCGGTAGGCATACTGGACCCTTCTCTCTTTCGCCCAGGCCCTTGATGCCATTGTCCGATGGACCCTCAACGGTTTGGGTGATTGGTTTCTCACTCGCAGGTTTCTTTTCCTTGCTGCGGGTATAAAAATCAAGTATGCATTTTCCAAGTGGTACATGCGCATTATTGGAACTATCACTTTTTACTCCGGAATTATGCGTAGCACTTTTGTTTTTGGCAGCGGGCTCCTTCAGCTTCTCGACACTTTCAATGAGGGCTTTCAACTTTGAGGGGCTATCAGAGGACTTTGCATCCTTATGATCGGATGTTTTTTCCACTGGATTGGAGTCGTATTGGATGATCTGAAATGCATAGGAAGGCTTTTCCTTATCCAAAGGTTCTTTCATTTTCCAAAGCACAGGATGGCGGTTTTCCCGTCGTAGCTCCGCCACATCCTTTGATTCACTCACTTCTGACCCACCACCGATACCCCAATCACCATCTCCTTTGAACCGGACTCTGTAGGCATCGTAGAGTCTTTGGACATGTGCCGGGTCATCCAGGTTCTGCACTAAACAAGAGGTCTGTCGGTCTCCGTTTGTGTTCTTATTGCGTTGTACATCCGGTCCAGAGGATCTTCCCGGAACTGGAACGTATAAAAGCAGTAAATTGTAAAGTAAAATTAACCATCCGTCCATTTTACATAAGCTTTAAAGAGTTTTGAATATTTCGATTTTTAAAAGTGACATTGTTTGAAAACTTACTCGGATTCCATTCCATATTAAGACTTTTAAATTAAAATAGTTTTGAAGACACCCACCTTTTATGCATATTCGTTTCTTTATTTTCCACAAAAAATTTAACCTACTCGCCGGATTCGAAATTATGAATTATCACACTTCATGATAGTGGCTTGACCTCCTCCTTATGTTCATTATGGACAACATCCTCCTTTTTAGAACTCTCAGACTTCCACTCCTCGCTGACCTTCATGTAAGGATAATAGACGTTCACGTGTGGCTTGTACGACTCCTTGATCAACTGGGGCGACGTCCACCGCAGGAGTGAGTGCGGACTGCCCAACTTGTCACTTGTTCCGGTCATGTGACCTGCTCCGAAGGGCTGCTGACCCACCCTGGATCCCGTCGACTTGTCATTGACATTCAGATTACCCACATTGAACCGGAACGCCTCGAAGGCCTCCCGTATGAAGTTAGAGTCCTTTGCAAAAACGGAACCTATCAGGCCATGGTTTACCTTGGCCACCTTGCTCATGGTCTCCTTGAGTTTGTGGTCCGGGTAAACATAGACGCCCAGTATGGGGCCCAAAAGCTCCTCCTTGCAAATGAGGTTGTCCAGATCTAGAACCTGTACCACTGTAGGGTCCACAAAGTAGCCTCTCGTCTTTTCGCACCCGCCGCCGGTCAGGATTCGACAGTTGGGGCACTGTGAAATATACTTCAGCCACATAAAGATGCGGTCGTAGGCACGCCGGTTGATTACTGCCGAGCAAAAGCAGTCACAATAGGTGGCATGGCCCACATGCAATGACGATGTAATCTTTAGCAAGGGTTCCTTGATCTTTTCCTCCCACAGGGACTCCGGCACATACAGCATCGAGCAGGAGGAGCACTTTTGGCCAGCATACTCGAAGGCGGCTCGAATAGTACAGGCTACGGCCGTCTCAGGTTCCGCTGACGGGTGCACGAAGTGGAAGTTCTTACCGCCGCCCTCGCCAACCAAGCGCGGGTAGTTCTCATATTCATTAATGTTCTGGGCCACCTGTTGCCACAGTACCTTGAGCACGGACGAAGTGCCCGTGAAACTAATGCCCGCCAGCTTGGGATGTTGGGTCACCGTGGAAGCGAAGGTTATGTCCTCGGCTGGCACAAAATTGACCACGCCTTCCGGCACTCCTGCCTCCAGCATGGCTTTGAAAACATACCAGTTGGATAGGATGGCCGAGTCCGAGGGTTTCCACAACACAGCATTGCCCATCAAAGCAGGAGTGTATACCAAGTTGGCGGCTATGCTGGTAAAGTTGAAAGGACTGATGGCAGCCACAAATCCTGTAGACACATGGCGTTAATAAACGAAGCACAAACTAAAAGCATATTCAACCTGTAAGTCCTCTCAGCCGCATCGTATTCTTGCAGGAGTCGGGGCAATTGTTAATGGGTTCATAGTTCGCCAAGTCCCTCAAGAACACCGGAGTGATTCGCATAAAGTCCACCAGTTCAGCCACATCCATCTCGGCCTGGCGCAAGGTCTTCCCCTGGCCGAGCATTATGGCTGCAATTATTTTGTAGCGATACTGTCCAGCAATTAGTTCGGCACCCCGCTCCCAGATCTTGATCCGATCGCGCAGCTTCGTCTTGTCCCAATCCTCCTGCGCCTCAACGCTCTTCTCCATGGCCGTTTGGATGTGGACGCGGTGAGCGTGGCCGTATCGGGCTATTGGCTCGTTAAGATCGAAGGGCAGTACCTGTTGTAGTTGATTGTCCGCGGTGAACTCCTGACCGTTGATTACGATGGGAACGTGCTCCACACGGTTGAGCACCCCCAGCAATGCAGTCTCCAGTTCCTCGCGCTCCGTCGAGCCAGGTGTGTACTGTCGCAGCTCCTCATTGGCCACTGGTTCGTCCAATTCAAAGTGTTCTGTCAGCTGGCCACTTTTTCCTCTAAATAGTCCCAGTCTGGAATTAAAAATCTTTTTAAGCTTATCTATTCAAATTAAAATAACGAAATAAAAGCTGCTTTGGCGCGGAAGTCCAATCGAATGCTCGATAAGTCGTCTTTTTTCCATTCAAATTGCCCATCCCTATTTTTTCTATCGATATGTAATCAGCTGAGTGGGATGAAAGCTCAACCACGACAAAATAAACTCTACCCGCCTCTGTTATTATTTTTTGTGATGCAATAATTAAGTAAACTATCCGCAAAATGCAACTTACCCGCCTTTTGTTGAAGCCTCGAGCCTCGGAAGTATTGACCGCATATTTGAAACAATGCCATGAGCCACCCTGGACATCATATTTTGTTCGGGTAAGTTGGAGCCTTTTTGGCGGTTCGCCGAAATTTAATATGGAAGGATAACGAAGAATCCTTCACTCCAATCCTAGTTTCGGGACGTAACCAATGACCAAAGAGGAATGTCACACTTCAACTGGACCCTGGAGAGTGGAACCAACTACCACATACTGCGTACCGGCTGCTACCCGTATATGAAGTACCACTGCAGCAAACGCGATGTGGTGGACCTTTCGATGGAAGACAAGTTCTTCCGCTTCCTTAAAGTGATAAATTTGGGTTAGTATAGTTGAATAGAAGGAGAAATTCATCACTGGATCACTTCTAATTGAATCTTTTCAGGCTTACCAATGCTCTTCTATGGACTGGCTGCCATCCGCCTAATAAGCCATACAGAAATTGTTCATGTCAGCGAGAAGGTAAAGGTGCCAATATTTTTCCTGTATGCCGAGGACAAGGGAGCAAGATTTTAAATTCTACTCTGACAACGGCGAATATAAAGTGTGACGAACAGCCTTCTTTTCTATTTATTTACATATTTAATACAAGTTCAACACATGCTAAAACAACAGCTTATTACAAATGAGTTGATGCAACAACAAATCCTAATACTAAAACACTGTTACCAAATTAAAAAGAAAAAAACAAAGATCTAGGTCTTAGTTCTTGCAGTCTGTTGGATGATTCTCGCAGGTCTCATCGTAGTTGTCGAGCTGTAGAGCCTTCAACGAGGCCTCGAACTGGGTGAGCGAGCACGGAGCATCGCAGTTGGGAATGGTCAGCTCCTTGGGGAATTTGTCCTCGCTGTTGTAATAGTAAACAAGCTGAACAACGTGTTGTCAAATAGTTATTCATGAAAATGTTTAATAAACACGGCTCTCACCTTTACTTCAAAATCTGCATCGCTGAAAAACTTGCTGTGGTGCAGCTCAAACGCCAAGGCAGATGAATATTCCGGCAGGTTGGTGGTCTGATCCAGGATCCCTAGTGCATTCATAACATTCACCAATGTCACGTCGTGCGCCGAATACAGGAATATCTTGCGATCAGGACTCAGATTCCTCTTGCGCTTGTTCTGCATTTTGGTGAGAATTTCGGTAAGAAAGGCGCCGCCTCTTATGCGCTTCATGAGATTAGTTTCAGTGAACAGGGTATAGCTACGCTCGGCCAGCGGTCTAATCTCCTCTGGATATATGTTCTCTGTCCAATCGGGCAGGACCAGACCAGCCTCCTCCTCGGTCTTAAGGGTGGTATACAGCAGCTCCACGTCCAACACGTTGGAAATGTTCTAGTGATGGAAAGTATAATTATAAAGACTTTATAAATCTTTAAAATCTAATCCACCTTTCCCGTATTTTTACTCAACAGTTTGTACAGCTCCCTGTTGTCCTCGTTGAGTTTTTGGAGTTCAGGAGGCGGCGTCTTGTAGAGTTTCTTCAGAATGTTTTCGTACTTGAGGCAAGGTTTCTTTTGCGCCAAAAGCTGGAAAGTAGAGGGAAAGTAATCAAATGACTTGCGACTTTTGGTTTAGGATTATACTGCACCCACGATATCATCATTACGAGCAAGTGTATTTACGGCCACCGGCTGCCAGGGTATGGGCAGCACATTGTTGTTCTCCAGCGGCGGCATCATCCCAGCCAAGACACTCTGGGCGCTCATCTAAAAGATAACGACACGGCCAAAGTGATTAGGACTGATTAGGCCCCATCTCGCATAGACAGTCTAGAGATATACATAGGTATAGCTACAGGGCTTATCGAGATTAGTGACGCACCACACAGCGTTCCGCGGCGGAGCTAAGAACATGGACCTGCTGCTGTGTGTAAAGGCTGTTGGAGGGCAGTAGACGGTAGTAGCGCATGCGCAGATTCTTTCCCAGGTTATAGGCCTGCAGCGTGCCTTTCTGTGGATGGTAAAGTGGGATATTTTAATTTTAAAGTTTAATAATAATTAAACACTTTTCATTTTATCAAAAGTCTTGGAGTTCTTATCAAGACCTTCCACTGATTAAAATACTGGTATGTTTACTTTTTGGAATCCAAATCTTGATGAAATTACTATCTATATTTATTTATAGTGTAGTAAAGTACCGAGAGCCTCTCGGAAAAATATCAGTCTTCTTCCCATTCATAGAACTCACCGGTGTTAGAGCTCCCAACCCACCTTGCCAATCGTGGGCGCCGTGCGGATCAAGTGGATAAGATCCGCTGGGATTTTTGGCTCCATGTCGAAACAACTGTTTATGAATGGAATACAAACATTAGAAACTCGTTGAACTTTGATAGAGCTACTCCAATCTCTCACTATGGATATCATGCGTAGATTCCGTAAGCCCTGCTCATCGTTGTTGTCCCCGAACACAAAGTATGCCATCATCACAAAGCACAGGGCGCTGCCTAGAGCTATCACCGATATCTTGGTGCCCCGGCGCGTTTTGCAGTCGAAGGTGGGCATTATTTTATTATTTGCTCCTGCTGCAGTTGATCGCGAGTATATATTCTCTTAGATTTGCAGCCTATAAATAGTTTTTTGTTTATTTTATAGCGAGTGCTTTTGTTTTTACTGCTTCGGCTGCCGTTGCTACAAAATTTATAAAAACTAAACCGATGGCATCAAGTGCCTCACAAAAACTGAAAAACAACTGAGCAGGCAGGCCATGCCAGCGGGCTCCACAGCCAGATAGAGAGGCGACTACCAAGTTGGATGGAAACGGGGGCGAGAATGCCGGAGCAGGCCGAGCAACTGAGAGAGCACGTCGATAACCATGTGCGAATAATTAAATTAGTTTCTCAAAAAGTATGGGTTAGGCCACGACTAGTTGATACTGTGCAATGGGTTTTAGTATGAATGATGAACCTTTAGTTTGGTGGGGTCTTATATCTAAGTCCTAAGATCAAGAATACGGATTTTGTAGGGATTAACAAAGTAGTTTATTCAGCTTCACAGTCAGTATGTTGAAATATTTTATTTTTTTATTAAAACAACACCCCTAAAAAATTAAAAAAAAACAACTTACCATGAAGTCTAAATGTCTACAACTACATATTTTTAAAAAAGGGTTATAAAGTAGCAAAAATGATGCGAGAACCCAAGAGCTGGCAGAGAACCTAAGAGAACACATCGACACCCATGTGCGAATAATTAAATTAGTTGCTCAATACCTGTCTGAATAAAGTCTCGACCAGGTGTTACTGTGCAATGGGTGTTGTTTAATCAATTGGCACTCGGGTGAGGAATATTCCCCAATCCCATTCATTTATTGTTTCTGCAACCTCGAAACGTGTTGAGGAAACGGCTTAGTTCCATTAGGCTTCTGACTAGAATTTTATTTAAAAATTAGTGACACCATCTCTTCAACTCAGATTAATCCTGAAAACATGCCTCCTTTTAGTTTGTTAAGTTTCTAAAATCTAAGTAGGCCGTGAAAACAGGAAAAAAATAGTAGGCTGGGGTTTATATTTCATTATCATTCAGGCCATCAACTCTACGACAATTCATTATCCATAAAAATTCGGTCAAATCTAGGTGTTATTATAAAGTAGAGCTAGCTAGGCAAAAAGTTCAAAATTCCGTTCGTATGAAATTCAAAATTCATATCATCCACCGTGCCCGGTCCTCGTTGGGACACGATAACTAGCAACACCGTACTAGCAACTGCGAACTCTGGTAATCTTCGGAGAAGTGGCTGGAGCTCCACCCTGGCTGGATTGAGTTGGTGCGGTATTGTTTTATATCTGGTGTCCGTGGAGAGGTAGTCCAAGGTAGAGGAAGTCCTATAAGCTAACCCCCATCGAGGCTTACGGCGATAATCGGGCGGGATTTTTGAGGAGTAAAGTAAAAAACAGATTAGGGATTAGCACCATGTCTGGATCGAATCAACAACAGCAGCACCTCAATGGTCAGACTGGATTCTACGAGTATCTGTTGCCTGGGATCTACGATTATCCGGTGACCCACAGTGCAGCGGTCAACATGACTGCGTACAACCTGACGCCCATTCTGGGCCTAACCTTGCCAGCCTGGACTATTCCGGCCCAGAATCCGGCCACCTATGTAGCCGGGCCCTTCGGCGTGATCAACTACGTGTCCGACATGGACTCCCACATGGCCCTCCCCACAATCCACACCCTAGTCAGTGGCATAATCTATGAAGCCATGAGCCCCAATCCGCAGACTATCTATCCCCATCAAATGCTCTGTGATTTTGGCCAAATAGAGACAGAGAATCGGGACAACTACGGATATATGGGATATGGAGATGAAGCCATTAATCTTAGCTTTACCCAAGATCTGAACGTTTCAGAGGAGGATCAGGACAGGCTAGAGACGGCTAGAGATCCGCTGAGAGATCCCGTGGAGGAGCCAGTAGATATAGAACCGGTAGCAGTTGAAGAGAAAGGTGACGTGCAGCGTTCGTCGAAAAGGTAAGGATTTTTCTCAAACCACATAGAGCCCTCATATTAATTTTTCATTAAAATCCCCCAGAGGACATCAGGAGAGCGCCCGAGGTTCCGGAAACGTAGGAGAAGGTCGCCGTAACCGCAAAAAGCAGAAGTCTAAGCGTAAGCGGGTCTACGAGGCCGAGCAGGGCTACCTAGTCGAGGAGCCCACTAGCGACGCTTCCGAGGAGGAGGATTCCCGAGAGCAACCAAAAGATTCCCCGATGCAGAATCCAGAAGTGTAGAATCGGTTTTGGATATTTGAGATCACCCAACACCGATTCGTGTTCATTCCCCAAAATTGAATTGCATGCCAATGCGTTGTGTTAAGATTCGAAACAACCGTGATCGAACCTGGGCCGATCCGGATTGTTTCGACGTAGATGCTATTGTGTGAGGTTTTGTACGGATTGTTGAAATTTCCTCTCCGAATGTTTGAGAATATATTTTATATGCAAGTTGGAAAACATCGTCTTGGAGCTTACTTATTTACACTACTTGGGTTCTAGCCTACGGACAGTCTTAACTCTTAAACATAATAAGCGTATGACGCGTGGATTGTCAGCAACTTTCAGTTCCCGCCGAGGACACACCGTTCGGTGTCCAGGTCTTCGTCGGAATCTATCCTTTGGCAGTCTCCGTGACCCACCGAGCAGCGTTTGTACACCACATAGCTGACCCAAACGGTCAGGGGGAGAAGCGCCAGCCCCAGGGGCATAAGGAATAATAGGAGGAACTCCTTCGGGTCCCTGGTTGGAGGACCATCGTCGCTGTCATCGTAGTCCAGCCAGTACTCCTTCTCCATGTCCGAGTCGGTCTGTACAGGCTGGACTTGGAGAAAGGCTTCTCGGATCTTGTGGCCCCTATAGCTGATGGCCACGCAGGCATAGTGCCCGGCATCCCTCAGTCGCACTCCATCCAGAATCAGCTTACTGAGATACAGCTGTGGTCCCATCAACTTCTCGGATGCGGTGGAAAGCAACTCGTAGGTCCGGCCATTATAGCGCACAATGTGTGTGCTGAAGTTGGAGGCACTAGCTCCGCCTGGGAAGGCTTCTCCTGCTGCCTGGGTACCCACGTAGCTATGCCGCCGGAACCACTTGATTGTGGGATGCTCCTCGCTGTGGACTCTGCACTGAAACACCACCTGACCGCCCAGGAGCACCGTTTGGTTGCTAGGATACGAGTCCACGAATTCAGGAGCCGCCAGGGAAGTGTCTAAGATTTTGTTTGAAATTAAATTATTATGATTCTTTTAAGATTCTAGCTACTCACTTTTGACATCCAGTTGGTAAGTGCGAACCAGCTGCACATCCACGGATTGAGTTTTGTCCAAAATGTGAGGGTTTATGCTGCATTTGTAGAGACCCGAGTATCGCTCCGTGACGTTTCTGAGCCACAGTTCCGGCCGGCAAAGACTTGGCTCACAGGGCAGAGCCGTCCAGTCATCAATTGACTCCAGCTTGTGGCAATTATTGTCGCTGCATTGCTGAAGAAAATTAAATCTCAAATAATTTTGAAGTGATTTCTAAAGATTGAAGCCATACCTTGAAGTACCAATGTATCTTGATGTCCGCGAGCTTACTGTCGTCCACCAATCCCTTTAGATTACACTGAAGCTTGACATCGAAGCCGGCTCTTTGTTGTATCAGTTCAGTGTTTTCTGCAAAAAAAAAGACAATACCATTCAATCAGGGCCATGCCAGCACAATTGTTTACCATTTTCAGGGGTGATGATAGCCAAATGACAGTATCTTATCAAACGGTGTACTACCCGAAATTGCGATTAACCTTTGGAGTATTTTTTGATGAAAAGTATCGGAAATGTGGCGTTACATAGAGCTTTCTATGTAGGTGAATTGATGGATATAATTGGGCATAAATTCTAATAAAACACACGCTAGATATGTCTTGCATGAGAGTTTAATGTCATTGGGTTAATCGTGTTCTTTAATTACAGATGATTGAGAAGAAACCTTACCTGTATAGTCCACAAAGAAACCACTGGATTGATCCAAGCCGCAGAAACAAATGAGAATCAATAGCCAGATGAGGCCAGAAACAGACCGCAAATCACAAGGCATCGGATCCATTTCCAGTTAAGGTACCAGCCGCATTGTCAACCACTTGTTAACACCATAGGAACCTGTTGGACACACATTGATTGGTTACTTTTCGGCCACACAAAATAGATTCCCCAAGAGAAGCAAGCTATGTATTTATTTATTTGGATTCCAGTCTGCCCGACCGGCCATTCATTTTCCTTGTTGCCCAAATGATCGATTTTCATTTAATTTCTTAGCAAACAGGCAGCGAGGCTCTTCCAAGTTTCTATTTATTTATTTATTTATTTGGTCTAAGCGATTGCATTTCCACTGGCTCGAGGGTATTTTTCACACATTTTATTGTGCGCTGTCGGCGATGAGTGTAAAAATTCACTTTTGTTTATTTACTTGGCCATTGGAAGCGAACGGGTGCTCCACATTGGCACACACACTGGCCCCAACTCACACCCATACCCACTCCCTAGGCCACAAATCCTTGGTGGTTCGTATATATAAATTATCGGAAATTCGCCTCTCATTTATTAATAAATAGTGAGTGCCATTTATGCAACAATAAATCATTGCCACCGCGATAATGCTCGTTTATCAATTGTCTGGGGCTGCTTCCATGGTAGCTCCCCCGGGTATATAGGAAGCCCCCGATAGACCGAAAGGGCCATAACCGTAAACGAAACTGTATATATATTCTTTTCAGTCAGAAATTAATGTTTCATTAAAAATTATGCGATGCGAACGATCCTTTGTTGTTTGAGCTTTTGGGGGTAATATTTATGATCTCCTGATGGTGGCATCAAATAACCGAAATTAGCTTTTAAATAGAACCCGATCAGAGCTATGTTTCACGAATTTATTGATTCGGACGTCGTGATTTGCCTGCTAATATAATAAATAAATTTGTATTGTTTCTGTGTCGCGAAGAGATCATTTCCAAACCGGCCGATCGAAAAACTGAAAACTCATAAAACACTTTTGATTGCGAGGGACGACGTATGTTTATGCCTTCGGGTTGCTTTCCTCGACCGCAGATCGATCCCATTGTGATGGAGATTTATCTGGGCTGGCCCACTTGATTGGCATCGGACTCAATTGATTTATACGATATCATTTATTAGGTGAAAAGTTGATTGTTTAATTCAGACAATTTGTTTACCGACTTGGCCAGCCGGAGAGTGGGGATATCGCTAGGAGGAGAACTCACACTTGGCTAAGAGCGACTGGACAACTGACACAAAGGCTTCATATTCTGCGAGCTTCTGCCGACGGTTCTGCTGATACGGCGCGTTTTTGATTAGAGCGGTCCGGTTGTGATGTATAAGGTTACCTAATGCCGCACAACTCGGATACCGTGCAATCTGAATATCGGGTTGACTCAGCAAAAAGTCTATTTCCTCTGTCTATTGGTCCAATTGCTTTGGTTTGGCACCCATCCGTACCATATATATTATGTTCACATCGATCTTCCGCCGATCGTTTGCTTTACTTTTCGTTCCGTAGCGATTCGATTCGATCCGATCCGTCCGTGTACGTTCCGTTCACGGGCCGGGCTATCAACAAACTACTGTAATACACGAATCGAACAAGTGTTACCCCTCGGCAGCAGGCCATCGTGTATCGTTAGCTATACACAGTGATAAAATTCTGGGTGCTTTATTAAATTTGCAAAAAAATTAAGAACTCAGTTAGTGACCCTTTGGATTCATTAGAAAAGTATTAGAAAGTATTAAAGCTTTTAGATTTTAAAGAAATTTCTTCCAGTGTACTAATGCTGTTGGCATTGCTGGCATTACTGGAAACAACAAAATAAATGTGTTTTATAAGCAGTTTTGCTTATCGCATATCAATATCGGTGCGTAAATATACAGTAGTCGATGGAGTGGACCGATATGAGCCTAGCCACAAACACCCAAGCCCACACTCGCCACCTAAGTACATATCCCGTATCCGAGGAGTTAGGGACCACCGAGATTAGACTGCATTGCGGTACTAAGCTTTATCGGGCGATCCGAAAATTTGTCTAACCCGAGAGATAGAAATAGAGTGGCGGGTTGGAATCCGCAGCGGAGGAGGTCATGTAAATTGAGGGTGCTATTTATATAGCTCTTGTGCGGCTCATCGGAATCGGGTTTTATCATATCGGACGCGGCCACCGTTCAATTGCCGTGGTGGTTGGTTTATCAGAAGGCGATCGGCTTATCAAGCGGGCCAATAAATGGGGCAGGAGCGGGTGGTCGATGGGGGGAACGGAAGCCGAGCGGCAGCTCGTCGGCAGACCCCAGAGTCCGTTGCGATGGCGTCTATAGATTGCCTCCAATGGCGACAACAATGCCACCAATTTGACCAGCCATACCATGCCATACCAATTCGATTTCCATTTCCATTCATCGGGCGGCTCGAGCCACAAATCCAAGTTAATGCCGAATGGGCTGGTCAACAAAAACCCCCAGGCCAGACCTCTATTGATAACTCCAGAGCCCACGATGGGCATGTGAGACTGATTAAAGTGGCATTATAAATAGATCTCGAGTATGTGGTTGGGTCTTAATCGAAATTGGGTAACATTGGGTCAAATAATATTTATGGTATTTACGATAAATAAACAAATTCAGCTATTTCGTTGATTTGATTTCTATTTTAAAAAATATTTTAAATCTTAAAATCAGATCTTAAGATCAGATCTTGTTTGTTTTACGAGGGATCTATAGAAAAAATATCTAGATAACTTTGCTTGTTACATAATTGATGAATCTCTAAAAATTTGTCGCTCCTTTGGCTTTAATTTCAACAATATTCTAAAATACTAAGAGTAGCCAGTCCTCATTGGAAAATCATGAACCGCCATCCACCCATCGACAAGTCCCATTGCTTAACCGGAGAGGCAATGATCCAGGATGGCAGGTCCCCTTACACAGTGGATAGCATTATGAAAGAAGCCTCCAACATCATAGACTCTCAAATGGATCGAATGAGGAACGACTTGAAAGCTAAAGAGTCCCTTATTCAATCCATGAGAGAGCAGGTAGGATCTAAAGATACCTCTTTTATCTTTTTAAATATTCTAATATCTTTATAGATTTTTAAAAGACTTCCAGAACCGGAACCGGAACCACAACCAAGCCTAGAGAAGGTGCCTCTGGAAACTGCCAACAAGCGCCTGAAAAAAAAGCTCCAGGAAGTCCTTAAAATTGATGAAAAACTGGAGGCCGAGGCAGAAAGATCCATCACAGAGATCAACATCGATCTAGAGAAACACAAGCAGGACCTGTATGGAATACATATAAGTTTACCGTTGACCTTTGAATATATATTTTCTACTTTTCGCAGCAAAAAGTTGCATGAAAGCCAAATCGAAGACTATATGGTGGTCCAGGAGGAAATCAAGAACAGTTTCTTCAAGGACATGGACAAGCTGATGGAGAGATTCGATGAGGAAATGTCTCGTTTTCGAAAGGACAATGCCCAACTCTTGGCAGACAATCAATTGAAGCTTAACAAGGACTCCCAAGGAGTAGCTAGCACACATCAGCCATAAAAATGTTTTAAATTCTATTTGTAAATCTTAAAAAAAAGTTTAATTTTAATTTTTAAAATTTATTTTAAGGTTTCATTCACTTCTCCTTGGGCTTTAGTTCATTGAGTTCCGTGGCATGCTCGGCCAACAAATCCAGCATCACCTCTATTTTCAGGTTGCACATGTTGTTCTCCTCCTCGAGGGCTCGGAACTTCTTGTTGAGCCTCACCATGTCCTCGACATCACCCTTCCGGGCGGAGTGCATCCAAATGCCGTCCGCGAAGCGCAGCTCCTTGTTGCCCAGCGTCAGGGATATCTGGCGGAAGTCGTCGATATCCTCGGTGACCACCGGATGTCCAATGTTGCACCGGCCCTGGCGAACTGGAATCGGCTTGGACTCGAACTTCTTGTTGAAAAGCGGCATGGCAAGTGACTGAAATGGAAGGTTGACCATGATGTGGCAAGTGTCCTACTACGTGTTCTGTTTTGGTTGGCTTTTGTCCTGTTGTCAGGACAACCGACACCTGCCGGGGTCGGCGGACTCGTGACTGGTCTCGTGCCCGGTTGCAATACGTACCTGCTTGAAGGGTGGGTCACAGATTGACAGCGGACAGAGCAAGCCCGCCAGTGGCATAGAACCGGCACAGTAATATATATTCCAACCCGTACGGACCAGTCCTCGTCGTATATTCTCAAAATTAAGAACGAGAAAGCTTTTAATTAATACCAGTTTGAAGTGCAACTAAGTGACAGCCAAGGAAATCAATAAAAATATATCGAAAAGCATGCTTTGTTGGAACATAGGAGGCCAACCAGTCTAATACAACACTTTTGATATGAATCACATTTATGTATGTACATTAGATACAACATTTACACCTCACCGGGATAGGCCCGAACAAAATAGAAAAACCGGTCAAAAAAAGAATCATGACGCAGGAGGTCAACCAGAACTATGCATATCCCAGGTAGGCAAGCCAACTCCCAAGAGAATCTCACCTAAAGCCAGTTCCTCCGACAGTAACAGCGTCCAGGATGTGGCCCGGGGAGTGGAGCAGCTGGTGGCGGACACCAATCACGATCTGCGCAACTTCCGGAAGGAGCAGGCGCACATACGAGCCCACGTCAACGGAGTCCTGGAGGAGAACCAGCGCCTGGCCGAGGAGCTGGACCGATACAAGAGCACATATGTCGCCCGCGATTACAAGGATCTCAAGGATCGGCTGATGTTGACCAATGAAGCGCTGGTGAAGTCCAGGCAGCAGGTGGAGGAGCTGCGTAAAGAGCGCAGAAGCCTGCAGCTGATGCAGGAGTGCTCCCAGAAAACCATCGACAATATGGAACTGGAGCTGAAGAACTATCGCGCTCAGGTCCTTGAGTCCGGTGAGGAGCATAAGGTAGGTACACCTTTAAGGGATTCAGATCTGGATTTTTTTTTTTTAATTTTAAAATAAAGGAAGCGTTTTTAAATCATAACTTCCCGGGCATTTGTCATCCGTCATTTGTTTTTTGGCTACCAACTAGCCAGCATTAAGAGTGCTTTGCTTTTTATTTTATACATTTTTTTCAATATTTTAGTAATATTTCAATAAAAATTCTAAATTTAACATTTTGTGTCCTATTTCGGCATCTTTATTAGATCACACAACGCTACGTCCGGGCCGTGAAGATGCTGGAGGCCAAAGTGGCTGCTCAACAGGAGGAGCTTCTTACACAAGCGGAGACGATCAAGGCCCTCCACGAGCACAAGCAACGGGGCGGGGAGCAGCTGCAGCAGCTCCAGGCAATGCTGAAAGACCAGGCCGAGGAGCAGGGAAAGCTGGCCAGCCTACAGACGCAGGTGAAGGAGTACGATCTCTCGCTCAGCCACACCCGCAACCTTCTGGTGGAGAGTACGCGCCGCGAAACCGCCGCCGTCCGGAAGGCCCAAGAGGCTATGGCCATAAGCGAAGCGGCCAACCGGGAGAAGGCTGAGGCCGAGAAGCGGGCCGAGAACTACAGGGAGGAGGTTACCCAGTTAGCCACCAACATAGGAACCATTATGCAGGAGGCCGCCAATCAGGTGGACGTCGAAGTGGCCCAGCTGAGGAGCAAGCTAAGCGATAAAGACAAGCTCATAGCGAGCATAAAGGATAAGGTAATTTGTGGCATCCTAGGAAGTGGTATTCGAATTCATGTGATTTCTCCATTGCAGCTGAAAAAGGATGCAGAGGAGCATAAAAGCGTGGTCCGTCTTTTGGAGACTCGCAACAACCGCCTCGAGCACAAGTACAAGGAGGCTCTCAAGCAAAACGACAAGCTGGAGGCGGAAATGGATGTCACCTACCGGCGACTATACGAATTGGAAAAGGCTAACGATTCCACCAACGAGTCTCGAGACTGCAAGGCGTAAGTACCAAATAATTATATTTTTTTAAACATATATTTCATAAAAAATACTTAGTAAAAAGCACTATGAGGAACAAATGGCCCGGTACCACCAGGCCCACAAAGAGATGAAGACCAACTACCATGCGGCCATGGACGACATCACTCAGAAGTTCGAGGCGGAGATCTACCTCCTGCGCAAGCAGAACTCCGAGCTGGAGGCGGACAACTATTTGCTAAAGAGCGGCGCCGCCGGAGACTTTTCCACCAGTCGAATCTAGTCCCCAGACGATCTTATTGTACAGTATTATAAATAAGAATATCTATATTTTTTCCAAAGTTACTAATCGTAATGGAAATCATTTCTACGTTGTGGCTGTTGCTGCTGTGGCGTTGCGGCCGGGAAACAAACTGGGAAACCAGTAGGTTGGCTCATCCTCCGACTGCTTATCGATCCAGCAGAGTCCTTCGCCAAGGACCTTGTCTAGAGATTGTTGAGCACGGTATTCGGTCCAACTAGGTGAGAAAAGCATAAGATTGAAGGACATATAGTGGAGTTCTTTATGAGTCCTTACCCCAAGTCGTTTATGAGTTGACTTTGTGAAACACAGCCCTGCTCCGTGTTGGATGCGGTATTTAGAATGTTGGTCTCCTCCATGCTCAGTTCACCAGGTATGGACTGTACTATGTACTTTCCTTTTCCCAGTTTGTGCACCACAAACCTAAAAACGAGAAATCTTAGAAAAAAAAAACTCTAGCAAGTTGATGAATCATACCCATTGCCAAAAATGGTTAGTTTCTTGGCCGCTATCAGAATGTCCTCCTTGGTGATCTCCTGGTGCAGTGCACTCTGACCCCGGGCGGCAATCAGGCGGCGCCGCAACTCGTCCAACTCCATCAATCCTCCAGTTTTGTGGTTCAGCGCCAGGCACACCTCTACCACCTGGACCCCCAGCTCGTAGTAAAAGTCGCCCATGCCCAGGACACTCCAGAAGCCTTTGGCCGTGGCCAGGGGGTCCACACCGATGGCGGCGCACATGTCCTGGAACTGTTTGCGAAACTGGGCGTTTTTGCGAATGTCATCCTTGTGTTTCATCGCGAACTCCTCGAGCTTGATGCGAAAGACTTCCATCTGCTTGGTCATTTGCTCTAGCTGCGATTCCTGTAGATCGGTGCCTTTGTCCTTGTACTTTTCCGCAGCCAGCTTTTGCTGCTGGATGGCTCCAAGTCCTACGCGACGACGCATTTTCACGTAAATAATTTATTTTCACAACAAACTGGAGTTTCCAAAATGTAAACAAAGATCAGCTGTGGAAGAAAATGAATAACAGTGGCTGTACGACATTACCCAGTACTGGACTGTGCTGTTAAGCGCAATGTTACATTATATGTTACTTGCACTGCAGTTTGAATTTGGAAATTTAAAAATGCAAGTACTTAGAATTTCAATTAAATTGTATGAAGCTAATATATTTAATTGTAATTCGGTTAAAGGACACTTAAAATTTAAAAAGAAGAAAAATTTTCATCTAAAAGTGCCCTTGGGTGTCGCTTATCAAAACAACCTATAATTTTTAGTAGACGTTCTGGCGGCAGAAAAGTTATTCCGTTTTATCAGCTTTTTAATGTGTGAATAAGCTCTTATCTCAATAGTAGGTATTGAAAAATACAATAATGTGGGAAGAATTAAAAATAGATTTTTTTACAACGACATATTACGATCTTGCATCTGGTTATTTTGCTTGTTATCCATTTGTTACGATGTCCATTCAATTAAATTTAATAGACCGTTCGCCCACATGCATATATCAATCAATAGGTTTTCCGATTCGGAGGGTAAAAAAAGTAACCCCCTCGCAATATGACGAAAGGCCGTGACAAGGCGATCTTCCCGATGGGCCCGCATATTTGGGAAATCGTCACCAGATCAGCTGCTAATTTTACGTTTAACAAAACCTTCATTTGGCATCTCGAGGCATTGAAATTGTAATGTTTATTATGCCAGCGGAAATCGAACCCGCTCTACGCTGATTGCTCCTCTCATCTGCCACTCCCCCATCCTAGCCCCGATTTCCATGTGAATCATTTCAAGCAAAGTCAGCACATCGATATCTTTGCTGATTAATTATGCGAACAGTCCAAGAGCGTCGTCTCAAACAAAACACACGAAAAACATACAGAAATCCAAGCTCATTAATAAGCCAACAATTTGTTTTTGGACTCCGGTGGTTTCGAGGTGGCAGCACTTAGCACCACTTAACGGTAGGAGAATCACTCGATTAGCGGAGTTGGGACCTCAACCGTCCAAAGAAAGCCCCCAGGCTGAAACACTCGACATCATTACGCCCAGTAGTCGGAATGGGTGGGGAAGGGAGTGGAGCATGGACCCTGGTTATGGTTATGGATATGGATATGTGTTTGCCCACAGCAGCCACGTTCCAGAGACTATCAAGTGTTGGTACACCGAAAAAAAATTAAAACTTAAATAACTAAGAGTTTGTTTAGTAAAAGTAATAATAGTTTTTAATGTTTATAAGTCCTTCTTATATTATGTTTACTTTTTAAATTTATTTACTATTTTATGCTATTTCTTTTAGTGTAAATATTCATTATGTGTTTGTATAAACAGCCATATGTCCAGCAAACTAGGGCAAGCGTCGAACTCGGATATAACTCAATGCATTGCATAATAGCCTGCTAATTGAAAAATCTTGGCATGTCTATTAATAATCCATATATAAGAGAAGAAGAATTTTTGGAAAATTTTGTAAATATGGGAAAATGTAATGGAAAATTTCCAATCAAAATATGAATATAAAATATTTTTTCAAAAGCCTTGGGAGTATCTAATTTAGAATATATCTAGAGAATAACTTGCTTTAAGAACTGACTCTCTATTTTCCTTCAGCTGCACTTTATTTTTGGATTTTATCGCCCTATGTGCATATCCATCTCCATCTGCTGGATGCGCAATTATTTAGACAGGAAGCCGGGGCCGTATCCCTGATCGGTGCCAGAGATTCTATATGTCTGGTAAATATTTATTTATGTTTCACCGTAGTCGCCGCCTCACTTGCAAATGCAAACCGAGCCAAACCAAATATGTTTAAAGAAAAATAATTAATGGAAATGCAAGAGGAAAACCAAGCTGAAAATAGCAGAGGATAAAAATAAACAAAATGCTGCTGACAGACAAAGGGCCCGAGCCACAAGCCAAAGAGGGTGGCATTCGAGATATTAATATCATTTTACGCAAAAGACTGAAAAAATATGAAAAAAAAAATTCCACCAAAAAGGATCATTCTTTAGTAATTTTTCTACTAAAATGTGTATCTGATAGATAGTTTGTAATGTGGTGCTGTAATGCGGGATGTTTGACACGCGGGGGGAGAAATATTTGGGCAGCTGACAAACACTCGTTGGACTACATGATGGTGTAATGATCTAAATTAAACACGAAATGCAATGTGCCAGAAATAGTTTCAGGTCCCCGGCTGGTTTCAGGTCTTGACCAGATGCTGTCGGCTTAGTGCGCCGCACCGTCAGATACTCAGATACAAAGATACATCAGCGTCAGGCGCTCTGACAGGCGAAGTAAAACTGACCAGCTCATTTGATTTTTCATGCATCGCATATCGCATTACATTAATAGAGTCCATTCACATTAACTTGAACATAAAATGCATAAGAAATGCATATGAAGCCACTGAAAGAACCACCAACCAACCCCCGACAGGGCGAGGTCACCACTCCCCGGATCATAATTCATCCAGACCTCGCGAGGGCCGGGGGGAGAAATGGAAAACTTTCAGCTTACTTACAGAACTCCTTTGTTGGACTACAATAAAAAATTCAAGACGAAAAGAGAGGAAATCTCAGACAATAAAAACTGGATAAAACTGGTGGGAAATTAAGGAAAACCTTTGATAGTTGGGTTTGGGTTGGAAACCAGACCAGAAACCAGTTGGGAAAGCTGCTCTCCACAGCGATCAATTATTATGCTGGCGGGTCGCCTCCTCAGGCCTATTGTTTGGCATTTTCCAAGTGGTTGCACAAAGGAAAAAAAACACTACATTTATGCATTTTTAAGATATATTATACTCCACAAAGATGTACGATATTTTCGACGGTGTAACACCCCACCTCCCTCTTTGTGGTGGCGACAATTGTCGCTAGTTTTCGCGTTTCCCAACCAGTTTCGGTGTGAAAAGTAACGGCCCGAGAGACTACTTGGCCAGGTAAATAAGATTTCCGCAAGTGGGTCAACTTGCAACTACTGCGTGCTGCATGCAACACAGCCATCGACCCATCGAGGCATAGCCAAAGTGACCCACAGCCACACCACGTTTAGAACCCGCTGATTTGATTTATGCCGTCCTGGCGACCCACTTCCAGGGCCATTTACACATGCGATTTGTCTTAGGTTTCCCCCTTTTGGGAAGGTGTGCCCTCCGTGAATTATGAGCTCGGCCAGTGGTCAGGGCTTACAGACACACGATCCCATCGTACAGCTGTCCCAAAAGGGAGATAGGGCTGAGATTTGAGATCTCTAGCACCGAAAACAAATTATATAAAAGATTATAAAAGGGTTGAGATTTATTTAAGAAGAATAAAGTCTAAAATATAGCTAGAGAGATTGGATTTTAAACCATGTAGCTACCAATATTTCAGAGATACTTTTAATGGTAGTTCAAATAAAGCCTTTAGCATTAAGTTTAATTTTTTCCCTGTACATCTATGACGAGATCACCTAATTGCTCTTGAAAGTGTTATCATCTAGTTTTCCCAGCTCTTGGAACTGGACACCCTGCAATCGGAGGCGCGTGAGATTTATGGGGCAGCCAGACTGGGACTCGGAGAAAAGTATCGCAGAGTCCGAAAGCCAGGGGATCAGGGGACCAGAGACCAGAACCCGAATCCCATCTGCAATTAAGCGCCCAGAAGAGTCACGTAGAGTAATTGTAATGCCTATAGGGAGGGAGGCAGGCAGGCAGACCGACAGACTGTCTGTCCGAAACCAGGAAAGATAAATGAGGCAAATTAGCACTCGGCGATCGGGGCAGGAGAAGAATTAAACAGCAGGGCCAGGACGGGGTAAAAGGCCATACTCCGCAGGGGAGAAGGTCAAGTTGCAAGTATTACTGGAATCGGATGACCAGAGACTATATGAATCACTGTATTTCAGACAGATAAGATATAATTTTAAAAGACAGTGGGTCATTGGTCGGTATAGATATAAGTTCCTAAAGGTTCATCAGAACCCTTTATATCAGAACCCCAACTTTCTCTTTGTTTTCAACCCGTTTTGATGAAATCACTGGCTTGAACAATGGGAGCAATCAAAAACTGGCTCCTTGATTACAAAACCTCCTCTTCCATAAGCTTCCTGAGGCATGGAAACGTGTAATTCTATCTCCCGAGTGTCCAATTGATACTCATTTATCGCGTCACCGAAGGCCAAAAAACGAAAAAAAATAACCATTCCAGTGCTTTATTTTTATTATGGTTTCGTGGACAAGGCCATAATAACATAAAAGCTAAAAAAAAAAAAAACATAAAAAAAAAGCAAGACCAGACAGCGACAATTCCTGGAGTGTCTATGCTTTTTGGGGAGCAGATGTTACTTTTGGCGGCTCAAAAAACGAGAATTCTTTGAGCCGGCTCCTTCTCCATCCTCGGTGCACCTTCGCACCGCCCGATCCTCTGATCCTCAGGTCTCAGGCACTTCCCTATCTCCGGCTGCTGCTCAAAAATGGAAATAAAACCAGAAAAGGTATAGCGACCGGGTCAGGGGAGTGGCCGGAGAAAAGAAAAAGCAAAGCACTTGTTCCAGAATGAGCGGCTCAACAATATGTGCACTGAGAGAAATCGTTACCATTAAGGTATAGTATTTATAGTTATTGGTATGAGGATTTTCTCTCTGTGCTCATGGGGATGTATTTCAAGTGCGGAAGTGCGGGAACAGGGCAAGGTAGAGGCGATTGCACCGGGCTGTGTCAGATTCAGGTTTTGGTTTTTGGCGCAAAAAATATTTGTGCTCAAAATTACTGGCAGAGCAGCAGCAGGTATTCGCATTCGTATGTCCCGGATGATGATGAGGGCCGCAGCCGCAGGAAAAAAAAGGAGAAAAGGAAGCAGCAGCCGCAGAAATTGGCGCAAAAATTTACAGATGCCTCACCAAAAAAAATAAATAAACATAAATAAATAATAATAAAGCCGGATAAATGGGCACGGGCTAAAGAGAGACTCCTTCTCTATCAAGCCACCTGCAATCCAAAGTTCAATCTTTAAGATACTCGCCACAGTCACGTTCCCTGCCTCGTGCAAAAATAGAAATCCATATTACGGAGGCAGACAGTGATCTCTCCTTAATGAGGTCATTTATTAATTAGAGAACGTGACGTCAGTCCCATCCACTTCCGACGACAGCAGTTAACCTCAACCTCAGTCCAGCGCGTGCGACAGTTCCATTGATCGGTTCCGTTTCCAGACCCTCCTTTAGAGTCTTTATATCTTTTGGGTTACATGGTACGTGGGCCATAAACTAATTTCGGAAGGGAAAACAGCTTGAGTTTTTCCGCAGACAAGCTGCTTTTGGACGGAAGTGACGACGGAAAGTAGTCCCTCAGTAGACCCGAACACGTAGCCAGAAAACATCTAAAAGATAAAAATACACCCATGCAGATACACAGGCATGCAATTCAAACAAATCCCAAATGAAAGAAAAAAATCTGCGCGGCACGAAATCGAAGCATTTGGTGGCAAAGCTGAAACGCATTTCAGAGAAATGACGCAGCAACCAGGAGGGGTTTCGAGGGAAAAAGGGAAAGGCAGCCGGGGAGGTGGGGGATCTTGCAACTTTCACACATTTCCAACTGCATTGTTTTCCCCAGAAGTGGCTGGTTTTTTTTTTTTTTGGTTTTGGCGCGAGGGTTGGTTTTTGCATAGTTCGGTCCCGGCACCACTCCAGACCTGTGCCACCGATCCGATTCCAACCCCCGACCCGCAACCCTTAGAGGTTCACCTTAGGGTCAGGTAGTTGCCAATCCGAATTGGGATTTCGTCAACCCGCCAAAAACATGGAAAGGAAATCAATCATCAGAAGAGAGATTTCTTGCAGAAGAGTTAGTAACAAGAGTCTTCTGAAAGAATTGCTAGACTCTCTACTTGGAGAAGACAAAAAAAGGAATACCCTCTGCCCTCAAAACAAAAACAACAATAAATCGCAATCCTTTGGGTGCGCCGCCTGCCTTTGTCTGGGCCACTCTTTAAGATGACTAATCGGTTCGGCGTGTGGATCGGTAGACCCAATGACCATACCAGCTGTTTTCCAGTTTCCACCTAAGGCTGACTCAGCATTATTCAAAACGTCTCTTAACCCACATTGATACATTGGGTATTTCCTATCCGGTGAGTCTCTGTTTCTATGCGGTTTTAAGCTCTTTTCACTTTCGTTTGGGCCAACTGGTGTTTGGGCCAACTACGCTTGAATTGGCGCCGCCAGCGCAAAAGTGTTTTCATGTTTTTTTTTTAGATTTTTTTTTCCCGAAAGAATAATAATTTTCTGTCGTCGCGACAATTAGGCCGTTTAATGCCGCATGAAGCCAGTTGTGACCTTGAATTAGGGCCAAAAGTGCGTAAACACATTAGCTAGTTAGTATTTGCCAGGGGCCTGGGCGTGGTGTTTGTGTAGGGCCAACATAAACAAGTGGTGGGAACTAGCATAACTAATTGTATTTGCGCGGTTGGTAATTGGAAATTTGTAGAAAAAAAAACAGATTCACTTTCTATCGAAGTCGGTCAATAGAAACGTTTGAATAGAAATCCCTGTATATTCTTTCCTTAGATTTGCCTTGTTTTATTCTCTAAAAGCAAGTATTACAAATATATATTCTTATAACTCTTAAAAATAAAATTTATTTTTTAGAACTCTAGTTTACTTATTTTACAAGAAACTTCCCAATAATTTCAAACTTGATGAAGTAACCCGCTATACCCAACTGTTAACAGCTCTGTTAACTTTGTACAGTGTTGCCACATCTCACACAGGCAGATAGGTACACTTTTTCTCTATAGGAAAAAAACTGTTCTCCCCCATCGTAAACAGTCTGGGCATTTTATTCAAAATGGCGGCGCCACCCGAAGCAAGCAGCTGATAGCTTCGGGTCCCACGAAGACAGCCGAAGCACGAAGAGAGAAACACTGGCACTGGGCACATTAAAAACCAGATTCACTGATACCCTGTTATCAAATCGATTTTGGAACTCATCGCGTGCGGACGTGCGGCTCTCCCAGGGAAGAGCTCTCTTGCGTGAAAGTCGTAAGGGGCTGGAACAGTACAAATACAAAACAGTGAACAGAAACGGTCCAATACCAATTGAATATACCAGAATTGCAATTAAAATTGCAATGGCTCATTTACCTGCGTGACGTGACTTTTTCGCAGTGTGTGTGTGTGTGTGTTGTGAGTGTGCCAAACGAAAAAGTCGAGTAAAAGTAGTACAAAGAAAAGCTCGAGTGAAAGCAGCGAAACAGAAACAAAAGGAGAGAAAATCACAGAAAACAGAAACAGCAAATAGCAAACAAAAAAGTAGAGACATGTCCATTTTGTGTCAGCAGATCGGGCTAACCCACCTGGTGGCCCACCCCGTCGCCCCCCGCGTCGATCCGCCCCGATCGGTGGTGAACGGCGCTAAACGAAACTTATTCGGCACCACACCGAAGGAGTGCAACATCGACGGAGTGCTGGCCCGGCTGCAGCGAGAGGAACTGCGTCGCGTCAAGGAGACCTACAACTATGACATCCTCGATATGGAGCGCCGGGAACAGGAGGAGGCGGAAGTGCGGGGCCTGCGCTACCCATACGCCGATTCCTCCCCAGCGGCGGACCAGTCGCATCACAAAGTTCACCGTCCACCCACCATGGGCGCCGGTGTTTCGATCTCCAGTCACCAAATCTCAGACAGCATTCGGAAAATCAGTCAAAAGGGAGTCAGCAGTTCGGACTCGGCCGAGAAGAGACATGGCCAGAAGCCATATGCTGTGCCGCAACCGCAGGGCCTCAAACGTAAGCTTTTATTTATTTTTCTTTAATTTTATGGCCCTAGAAAAATGAAGTGTGTATCTTGTATCTGTATTTGGAAGTATCTTGTATCTGAAAGTTTAGATTTTACGAATATCCACCTGATTTTGTTTCTCTTTTTTCCTTCCTTCCGTTATTCGGTGTTTCCCTTTTGTTTTCTTCCCTCTTCCCTTCGTAACTGAACTTCAACCCCCTGATTTTTGTTTGTCGAGAAACCACCCTCGTCCGAGGGGTCTGGTAACCACTATTTAAAGATACTCTTTATTTTCTAATTTCGTATTTTTCGGATACTCTATTTTTGTGGCGCTCTGTTACCTAACAGAGCCAAGGGCCACAACTGTGCACACAATGCACTCTGCTTTACAGTTGGCTTAAGTGCCGTTAGTATGCCCCCTTTCATTGGTTTGTTTGCCAAGAGCCACCCCTTGCCACGGGCTCCCCCCCAAACTTTCGCATTCGACTCGCGTGTCTTCGCGTATTTCCAACCCAAATGTGAATCTTTTTTCGAGAGCTTGTTTTTGTAGCTTTTTGTTTTGATAGCCGATTTGTTATTTTGCGCTGTTTCCTAACTGCCTTTACGGAGCGGGGGAGTAGGGGAGTGCGACGGGCAGACCTTAATCACGATTCGCTTTCATTGTGGAGACTCCAACTTCCTTATCAGGTGGCCTGGTGTAGCTTTAATTTCATTCATTTCAACTTTAAATAAAAACAGATTGCTCATAAATATACATATGTATAACTCCTCTTCTAACTAATGTTGGTTAAGATAGGTAGTCTAGTTAGTAATTTTAATGGCATTCCCCTGATATCGATGGTGTCGCCAGTTTGTCTTTCGGTAGTGTGTCAAAGCGAAAAAGAAAAAGCTAAACAACAAACTGTACGCCAAAATAAAAACTCAAACTGTTGAATAACATATCGCCCGCCAAAAAGTTTTCCTCAGCGAGATTGTGGCCTGCAGTTGTTGGCAATTAATTGAGAGGCCTCAATTAAATTTAAATCAGCGCCAACGCCTTCTGGTTGTTGTTGTTGTTTTTTGTTGCCTAGCTGCTGCAAGTTGCAGAGGAGAAAAAAAAAATAAAAAAAACTACATACTTGGCACACGCCTGCGACTGTACACCGTTTTTTGTTTTTTTCGCGTTGTTGTGTGGCCGCACCCACAACGACAAACGCAACCTCCTCCAGGCAGCGTCACTCTTATACGACGACGTCAGCCCCCATTCGCACCAACACACACACAAGCAGAAGGGGAGCACGTAGGAAAGAGTGGGAGACAGAGAGCGATCGCGAGTGGGCTAGCAAGATCCAGTGTTGGCTAGCACGGCTTTTTACCAGCCAGATTTAGCTTTTCTCTGGCTATTTTGTCGCTCAAAGTTCACAGAGCGAGTTCATAAGCTCCATGGAACTACTGTTCGGGTCATCTTAGGGCCCATGTCCATAAATTCCTACAGAATGCAACCATATTTCATAAAAAAAAAATAACTATTATTAGCTTCATTGCCGTGAAAGCTTTCTCTTCTTCTTATATCATTTGGCTCCTTTCTGTTATCAGAAGACTGTCAACACTACGGGGATCTTCTGCTCTCTCTGTCTGTGCTCGCCTTGTTGTTGTTTGTTTTTCTTCTCCGCAGAGCCTGCTGATGATGTTTTTGCGTTTTTGGCGCGAAATTGTATGTCGTGTTTATTTTTAGTGTCTCCACTGATAAGCGCTCTCCCCGTGTGTGTGTGTGTGTGTGGGTCTGTTATTGTGCGTAATACTACGCACGCACGTTGTTGATGTTTTTCAAAACTCGTCGTGAAGGTCACACAAACATACATACACATACATACATGGTATGTCTGTACGAGAAACTTACTTGTGGATGCTATGGGGTCTCCTTTGTCAGATCGGGATCAGCTGGGGGATCAGCTACATCTACCATCTGCATAAGATGAAGCTGTAAGTTTGGAAGTATTAAAAAACTAAATTTGAAAATCTTGAAAAATCTTTATTTTTTATTTAAATATTTATATATGCTAATTAGTTTATTTTGCGGCAGGTCCGAAACAGGGCCAGTAGCCGAACAAAAACGTAATCAATTAGACAAGTACTGTTATCTCGCAAAGTCGCTCCATCTCGTTCCTTCTATCGACGTTTTGTCCACCACTGTACTTCGAAATACTTTGTTTTGAGCTTTCTGTTTTGCTTCGGCTTTCTACCACGCCCCAAAAAACAAAAAAAAAAAAAGAGATTTATTTTGTTTTTTTTTTTGTTTTTTATAGATTTATGTTGTTAATTATGTATGCAGAAACTCTCTCGCGGCTCCCATATAAATATTTATAATGGGAATTCTCTGAAGCTCCTCCGTTCCTGTTTTCATTGTCGGCACTCTCCACCCAATTTCGTAAACAAACCGCGTTTTGTTGTTGCTCCAGGGAGGGAGTATGGTGGGGAGAGGTCGAGAAAGCTGCGTGCTCATAATGATAACGGTAAACCCCAATGCCAACACGCACTCTCCCCCGGAATAGGGGGAGTATTACAGAATTTCTTTCCACCTCCTCCGCCTATTACAATAGGCGATCGTTTTGCAGAAGCTCCCCTTCCCCCCACCTCCTCCCGCCAGTCGACTGTATCTTTCTCTCCACCCGTTTCGCTTGACGTTCTTTGTCGCTGGCTTATAATTTTCTATAACTGTACTTTTGATTATATCGCCGGCAGCGCGACTGCTTGGCTGCCAATTCTTCATTTCCCTTCTCTCTCTGCTGGTTTTCACGATTCTTTGAAGAAGCTTGGAACGCCCCCCAAGTAAAAATTTGTAATTTGACGTTTCAGTGATCGGAATCTTTCCAAATAAATGTTTTAATTGGCATCCTGTCATGGTTGGAAATCATATGTATCTCAACCCATTGTCTTCTATCTGAGAAGAAGATAGTACTAATAGATATCAGTAGCTGGTTTGTGGGAAAAATTAACATTTTTCTGGGAAAAAAGGCAAGTGTATGAACGCATTCGGTTTCCTCAACTGGCCTTGGGGCAGATTCTTGTTTTTGTAGACAGTGTTGTTGGTTTTATTGTTCAGCTTTTTAGCTTTTAGGTCACTGCGCAGTGGCAGTCGTCGTCCCCGATCCAAGCCGGTCGTCGTCTAAGTCTAAGCTCTAGCGGTTTACGTGATGAGGCAACCGCAGCTGCCAGCTATAGAGGCTCGATAGAAGTACAGTCGGACTTCTCTAAAAAGTACATTTCCGTATGAAAAATGTTCTTTGTGCTTTTGTGGATTACTGTCTGAAAACCGCATTTGTGAGGTTGCTTTGCTGTGTCGGTTATCTATCAGAACGCATTTGGATCGAAGCGGACAAAGCCCCCTAGAATGCACTTATCGCTGCGGCCATGACATTTATTTATCGGCTAGCCACTGACCAGGTATAGCCACATCGGTGTTTGCTTACACAAGTGTGCATAATTCCAAGCGATAAGAAAGCTCTACAAGAAATCGAAACTCACAGATACAGATACAGATACATTTATAGCGCACTCGTGCAATTAGACACGCCATTGCTTTCCCTTTTGCCTTCTGAAGGTCAAAAGTGACGCTTGCACTTTTTAGTTTTTTATGTTTTTTTTTTTTGTACTTTTTTCCTGTGACTAATCACAGCGATCGTTGCCTTTTCGTAATACTACAATAAACCATTTTTTTTCTACCGTTATCTCGACAGGATCCTATCGTGTTCGCAAGGCCAACAAAGCCATTACGTCGAGTGGGTCAACAAAAAGCCATAGCCAGAGCGACGTCATCAACAACAACAATGTGGTGGAACAACGTCCAAGCGAGCTAAAGGAGCAGCTGCCGGAGCAAAAGCAGCAGTAAGGTAGAGGAGATAGTCGAGGAGGAGCAGCCCCTGGCGGAGCAACAATTGCAATATATGATATTTATTGTAAACGTAATCTTAATATTCTAAACTAATTTTACATTTTTTTTGTTTAAACTTTAAACCAAGACTTGATGGTCCCAAATGTTGTTGCAAAAAAAAAGAAATGAGAAAGCCAACCAGAAACAACAGCAAACAACCAGAAATGATTGGCACGCGTGCACAGCCAAAAACAGGCAAAAAATATTATTATATAATAGGCTATAATCGAAATGGATGCACGGCGACTGACGACTACTGAAATTACTAAGCTATAGTTGTACTCTATATATACTAAATATTTATGGAATGTATCTGTATCTGTAAATTGGCAATACGTAGCTACGCAGCAGTAGCAGTCGCAGCTGCAGCTCTGTAGTGAATGAATCGAAAGACTTAAGTTCGTACGTGTAGATTAAATTGTAATTACTAATTAGGCAATGATATATGTGTAACTTTAGAAGCCAAGACCGATCGGCGCAGTGCATCCATTATTATATAGACTCTTACCCCAAATCCAAAAACCAATTCAAGCGTTCTCAGCATGTTTTCGGGTCCTGATGTACGCGTGTGCCAAAAGTATTTACAATTTACTTTGTGTCATGATCTCAATCATTAAATACAATTTATTTTGTTGTTGTTGTGTAATTAATATTGAAATTATTTAAAATTCTTTAACAAAAAAACAAAAACCCTCATACAACTCACTCATACACACCTCAACACTCACAAAACCTATATACCTATATTCTATGTCAAATTTTAAATTGTGTTTACTGTACAAGTTTAAATAATTTCACATCTATGGCAAAACTATTTTCTCCCACTCTCTCTTTGAAACCCTTTTAAAAACCCCCCTTTGAACAACCAAACTGTGAATATTGTATGGAGACCTCAGAACTCCAAGCAGCTAATTAAAAAAATACAAAACCCAAAAAAAATAAAAATAAAAATTAAAACAACAAAATACAAAGTATGTATATTTCCTTAAAGAAAACTAAAACATAAATTTTTGTAAGCCTACATGATGTACTTTTCAAGCTGAAAAGAGCACCAGAAAAAAATAGCTAAAAACTAAAAAAAAAAAAACTTAAAATACAAAGTAAAAAAAATAATCTTAAAAGCTTTTTATTTGCCTACGTTGGGTCGGTGGTGGTTGGGGGCCCTTTTTGGACGAGATGGCGTGATTCTCCATTTTCGAGTCTAAAGAAAAGTCGGAAAGTGGAGAAAGATAAAAAAAATATAAATAGATGGAATGACTCAGCTGGGGCCTGGAGCTACGGATGCAACCGTTGCCCCATTAGACAAGGGGCCGGCTTACAGCGATCTCTCGATTTGGAGAACACGATCGTTCGATTGATTTTCAGAGAGGTATGTACATGTACCTGCTACCTGGTATCCACTGTAGCAATTACCTATGCACTGTGCACCGGTCGAGTATGCAATCTTTTAATTTTATGGAGAAAGGAAGTCGAAACCTTCACCAATTAGTGGGTTCTCTCCTTTTCGTTTTCATGGACAGATATCGAAAGGCTCCACTGTGGCACCACTGATGGGCGCAACATGGAAAATGCTTTCTAGTCGCAACGAGTGGATGTGTCTAGCTGGGGCACTGGAGTGGGCACTTAACATTAGATTGGCTGCGACTTCCGGCAAACAAATGAGCGTTTGGCGGCCCGTTGATGATGATTGATGCTGGTGGCGGTTGGCCATCGCCCTCAAAAAATTCCTCCATGTCGTTTCCTGTAGGAAACCTATTTTTTTTGGGCCACTCGGATTAGATGTATTGTTGTGCCACGTAGACTGAAAAGCTATGCCAGACATTTGGCTCTTGGTGCTCTGTTGAGCGAATCAAGAATGAAACTTGTAATAATAATGGCACTGGCGGAGAGGCTCAGCAAATTACATGCTCTGCATTTAGTAACAAGCATGTACAACATATTTGCCCACTTAACTAGCGGCCTGGTACGGTTATTAGCATGCAATTTCAAGATTTTAATGGCTCGGCACTCGCATTGCAGTCACAACTGCACACACATACCCATAAAGACGCATCCACGCAATGGAACCAAGTACAGGTTCGGTTGAAATAATAGATACAGGTGGACTATTTACTTAATTCTAACTGAAACTATAGTTATACCTTATATGTAGGTCTCTAGCTTAAGCTTTCAAAATTTCCAATCTTTATAGACTTCTTTAGATAGATTTGTATCTGTTGCTAGTATCTCATCCTCAAATGTAAAACTGCATCTGCCGAGGTGTTTGTACTCTTGGCCGCAATTGCAATTCCCATTTTTACAATGGAAGCAGCGCATTCGCCTCTATATAATTCCAAAGCTAAAACATATATATTTACGACTTTAACGGTACAGCTAAGCCAATGCCATTAAACAACAAAAAAAATATAAAAAAAAAAATTCCGATTTGTTTCGAAATCACAAAATAATTTATGACCCGGGCGAAGAGCGAATTTTAATTGCATTCCATTTTCACATTTATCACCATTAATGTCAGCGGCTGCATTCGAGTGGGGTGCAATGGCTGGAAAAGCGTGAAAAGCGAGCCAAGGCCATCCGATCATTCTAACTACATACATACAAAAAAAACTTAAGCAAGTATTCTACAAGATTGCCAGTTGGCGAGAGACCCGACTTCTCTCAGACTGCAGACTGCAATTGAAATCAATCAGCCCTGAAGTTCCCCTACTTTTTAATGTCTTCTCGTTGCATACCCGTATAACGTGAGGTCATCGGGGATTACAAATGGTGGAGGTAGGGGGATACGGCATAGTAAGAAAGGCTGATCCCTCGGACAGTGCTCTAATCTCCTGACCAAGTTGTGGCTTTGCGTTATTTCCTTGGCGAGACTCGACTCGACTCGGATCATTTGCAATACCCTAACAAAGTGGGGTATTATCTTGTAGAGAACCATGCTTGCGGAATTATTTTAGTTGAAAATCTCCCTTATTGAGTTAAGGTATCAAAAGGTGCGACATGGAAAGATAGTTATTATTCCTTACTGCTTCTCGCTGCTGTTGCTGATGTTGGCAGCGCAATTTCAGTTGGCCAAGTCCAGAGCAATTTGCAACACAAATCAACGGCATGCAAAGCACTTTTTGTTTATTTCGTTGATTGTTCCCACAATTTTCGTACAAAGCCGGAAAATGTACGTGCTCGAGCGTTGTTACTGTAATTGGCCTAAAAAAAAAACCTAAAAAAAAGAACAGATAATAAAGATGAGGGAAAAAATAAATCATACAACGTGGAAATTCTTTCAAATGTTCAGACAAAGGCAAGGCAATGGTGGAGGTGGGAGGAGGGGAATTCCCTGCTTGACAGACTCGAAAGATCTCCCAGATGCTCACCCACTGTAGCTCGGATAGGAGAAGGTGTAGAAGATGTAGCTGAAAGATACATTCTCGTTTCGGGACGGGTATGGGAAGATCACGTACAGCATAAAATGGGGGCGTCATTTACATTGGCTTCAAAGGGAGCTTAGAGACCAGGATCTCGGCTCGGATCGTGAGCGTGTGAATCGAAAGCAAAAGTACCAAGGGCCAAGGCTCGTAGATCGGAGAAACGTGATCCCAGAATGAGAACGTGAAGCCATGCTATAGAGATGTCTTGGGCTTATAGCAAGCCACACCACTTGAAAAACTTACAAAAGACAGCATTTAAGGAGCTAATCTATAAGAGGTTAGAATGTGCAGAATGAGCATTTGACTGCTTACCAATTATGGATTATCTGTCAATGATTGTCAGATCTTTTAAGGTCGCTTTAATAACACTCTGAACCAAGTAGGTTGCGAACCTCATACCGTAGTCTGCGATGGGCGGCTTCTATATATAGCCTTTAGAGCCACACACCCCCGATTTCTATCGGGAGTTCCATTTCCATTAATTAAATGCATTTAACAGGTCTAGAGCACTCTATAAAGCGTTTAAGTCTAGGTCAGAAACTAGTCCTGGAAGCCATGTCTTTTAAGACAGAAAGCTGGCGCTCTAATAATATTACAAATCGGGTAACCCCTCAGATTATTGGAAATCTCCGCACAAATGACACCTGTCACGTTCCGTCTACTTTGTGTCAGTTCCTGATCATATCGTCTTACTGCCATAAAGTCTATTATATTATATGACTTGGCCAACAAAGCAGTTTGTACTTTATCCTCAATCGAAGTGTTAACAGTCCTTTGCCGGATGACAATTACCAAGTTAACGGCCGTTATCCTTTGTGGGTTATTAAAGTATGCCCAAATCATGGGAGTGGTATTTTTTCGAATTAAAAATAATGATGTCCTTAATGTTAAATGGCTGAAATGGATTTGTGTGATTATTCGCTTGGTGACTATGTTATCATTTGTGTACAACTATATCGTAGTAATCCAGAGACTTAGGTGGTTTATTTTAAAAGCCATACTCGGAATTCGTCTTTTTTCATGCATACCCTCCAGCTGCTTTATAATGGGGTTTCAGATCTTCCGGGGCTCGGAAATCACAGAAATGGTACAACAATTGTTGGAGCTATTTCGAAAGGTGAAGAATTTATGCAGGCGACCGAAGATGGGTTTCCGAGGAAAAAAGGAGCTGTTCCTACTTTTGACCACTGCCTGCATCATGCCACACGAAGTACTATATATCTTGACTTTACGAACTTCTATGAAATGGAATTTTAAAGGAGTTCTGCAATTTTACAACAATGGATACGTAACTGTGGGTACAAACGTCTTCCTGCATATCAACTTTCTGGTCTATCTAAGTTTCGGATTTCTATACTCGGAGCTTAATAAATATATTGTCAAGGATCTGATGCCCCAACTTCAGGGTAATGATCTTCAATCCGATTCGCGTAAGCTGAGAAAACTGAGACGTAAACTTAAAAGGTGTTTGGATCTATACAGAGACATCTTCACAGTGAACACAGTTTATCAACGAATTTTTGAATGGCCCCTGGCCCTTGGACTAGTTCAAAAAATCATGTTAACAGGCTCTGTGGCTTATATATTGGTTATTGAAAGGAAGTTTCACAGCTTTTGGTTGATCCTAATGATCTTCAAGCACATTTATGACCTTTTATTGCTAACATATTCGGTTCATAGGGCAGTGACTGAGAGTTCCATCATTCGATCGGTGAATTTTGAAACCTCTGAGGTCTCCAATCTCAAGGAGTTTCGCATTATGGTGAGTTTACATAATTTTCCTTTTTGCATGCTTATTCATTATTTTATTTCCTTAGCTGGATAATTTTTACACTTACCTTAATCTCAACAAGTTTCGAATTTGCATTCTGGGCCTCTTTGATGTCTCGAATAAGCTTTTCCTATTGGCCCTGTCGGCCATTATCAGCTGGCTGGTTTTTGTAACTCAATATGGACTAAGAATGGGAGCCTCTTGGAAGTATAAATAGGCTTAAACCCGACAAATGGGGTTAAAGAAAATACCTTTAATAAAGTGTCCTTTGAGAGACCATAAAAACACAATAAACAAACTTAACAACTAAATAAACAATCACATAAGTACTGCATCAAATTAGTATTTTCCTCAGTGAAGTCCAGCCTGACCTCAGTTATGATTCAGTTCCTGAGAAAGGTGCGCCTTCCGGTTATATCGGCCGGTATCCTGCGTTTTTGTTACTACTATGGCCGAGTCCTGGGTGTGGTTTCCTTTGGCATTGAAAGGAGAGTATCCGATGGATCCTGGGCAGGTCGCAAGCAGCACCGCTTCAAGTGGTACTGTCTGAGCTTGCGAATACTGTGCACCATACTGGTCTGTTTGTTTTGTGCTCCTTACGTCTTGGAAATAGAGGATCCTTACGACCTCACAGTACAATGCATCCGCTTGACGTCCTGCTTTCTGTGTTCTATTTGCATTTTGGTCCTTCAAACGGTCTACGAGCATGAGCTCCTCCGGATGATGAACGGCTTGCTGCGACTCTTCCGACGCGTTCGAAGTTTGTGGTCCCAGAAAAAGTTCGGGTTTGGGGGCAAGCGAGAATTCTTCCTACTATTCTTCAAATCGGTATGCTTGGCCTATGAGTTTAAGTGTCACGTCGTCCAATTGGCTAATCCGCCCGACTGGCTGCCCACCGCAACCACACTTGGAGAGATAGTAATCGAGATTGGTTCCTTGATGATCATACACATTGGCTTTCTGGGCTACATGAGCATAGCTGCCCTCTATTCCGAGGTCAACAGCTTCGTGCGCCTGGAGCTGCGACGTCATCTGAGGTCCCTGGAGCGCCCTGGCGGAGGATTTGTCACCCGACGTCATCTTAGGGTCGTGAGCAACCGCCTGGATGAATGCATCGAGGTCTATGATGAAATCGAGAGGGTGGGAAGATCCTTCCATCGCCTTTTTGAGCTGCCCGTTTCCATGATCCTGATGTTCAAAATATTCGCCACAGCCGTACTGTCCTTTGAAGTGATTATAGACGACGACTCCTATCCCAGCAAGGCCGGCATGTGGGGACTGGTACTGAAGAGCTTTGCGGACGTGATACTCCTGACCTTGGCGGTGCACGAGGCGGTGGGTGGTTCGCGGGTGGTGCGCCGGCTAAGTCTGGAAAATTGTCCCCTCAGCGAAGACAAGGAGTGGAATATGAAGGTAGTACTTTATACATACAATGGTTTAAATAAACTAAACTCTTTAATGAATAACTTTTACAGTGGGAGATGTTCTTGAGTCGCCTGAACCTCTTTGAGTTTCGAGTAAGGCCTTTGGGTTTGTTCGAGGTCTCCAACGAAGTCATTTTATTCTTTTTTTCCGGCATGATTACCTATTTCACCTATGTAGTCCAGTATGGCATGCAAACTAATCGCTTAAAAATGTAAACATATTTAAATTAAAAGAAACATTTGATTATATTATCACTAAGATGTTATACAAGAATAATTTATTGCCTTTTTATACCCTTTCAGAGGAAGATATAGCCTTCACTGTGGGCCATATATGTAGGTGAAAACCCCATTTTCAAGGGATCCATCCATGATGCAGAATAGTGGAGAATCGATCAACTAGTCGTTGAAGGTACTCCGCTAGAGAATCGCATGAAAATTGGGGAAGATATAGCCATCACAGTGCACCCTATAGGGAAAAGCCCCATTTTCAAGGATACCATCACGAAAAATGGACAACAAATATAAAAAATATTTTGTCTCAAAATTTTGATGCAGAATGGTGGAGAATCGATCTAGAAATCGATTAAGGTACTCCGCTTGGGAATCGGATGAGAATTGGGGAAGATATACCCATCACAGTGCACCCTATAGGGGAAAACCCCATTTTCAAGGATCCCATCGCGAAAAATGGACAACAAATCTAAAAAATATTTTGTCTCAGGATTTTGATGCAGAATGGTGGAGAATCGACCTAGAAATCGATTAAGGTACTCCGCTTGGGAATCGGATAAGAATTGGGGAAGATATACCCATCACAGTGCACCCTATAGGGAAAAACCCCATTTTCAAGGATACCATCACGAAAAATGGACAAAAAATCTAAAAAATATTTTGTCTCAGGATTTTGATGCAGAATGGTGGAGAATAGAACTAGAAATCGATTAAGGTACTCCGCTTGGGAATCGGATGAGAATTGGGGAAGATATACCCATCACAGTGCACCCTATAGGGAAAAACCCCATTGAAGATATAGCCATCACTGTGGGACATATAGGGGAAAACCCAATTTTCAAGGCCATACTATATAGTATGCGAATTAGCGATAAATAACCAGTCTTGAACGCACGGGTATATCACTTCGGCTCCGCCCGAAGTTGGCTTTTCTCTCTTGTTTTTTATACATCCCCTCGATGCTATTGTATTGACAAATATTTATGGTTTGATTTTAATTAGATTAATTGAATACCTTATTTGTCGAGCCAATTACCTAATGGCTTATTGATAGAAATATGAAACTGTCGAAAGCCTTCAGTCATGACGCGAACTGCCAGGATAACCCGGTGGTTGCTCCGCATTTTTGCCCTCCACGCTAAAGTTTTCGGAGTAGTCATATATCGAATAGAAAGAAAGGAGTCCCAGCTGGTGGCCAGGAATCGTAGGAACTACCGGTGGATCTCCATAGTGCTCAGATTGATCATTAGTGGATTTTATGGCTATAGTTTCAGTAGCTGGGCAGCTCGGCTTAAGGACTGGCTACTCATCCTCTTCTTCACTCTTCGAATGACTGGGTGTCTGATCTCCTCGGCTGTTTTGCTAGTTCTTCAAATATGGTTCAACCAGGAGTTGCTCAACTTGGTCAACAGATTTCTAGAGCTCTTTGGAAGAGTCAAGACATTAGGACGTGCTAAGGAACATGGTTTCGGAGGATCTCATGAGCTCGTCCTGATGTCCGTAAAGCTGGTTTCTGTGCTCTATGTGATCTTTACATATGATTGGTCTTTTTTCTCGCCCAAGCTCATGCTGACCATTTTCTGCGATTTGTACACCTCCACGGGTGCCGGCATAGTAATGCACCTGTGCTTTGTGGGTTACCTTAGCCTGGCACTACTGTACCAGGACCTCAACAACTATGTAGACTGCCACTTGAGAGCCCAACTGGGTTCCCTAAGGGACGAGGATGTGGCTGAAAACGAGCAGCCCTCCAGGGAGGCCATTTCCAATTTGGACGAGTGCTTGGCCCTTTACGAGGACATACACCAGGTCGACAAGAAGTTTCAGAGGTTCTTCAATCTGCCCCTATTCATCAACTTGGCCCAAAGCCTCCTGGCCATGGCCATGGTGTCTGCCCATGCCATCCTGCGGCGGCAGTACATCGTCAATCTATGGGGCCTGGTACTCAAGCTACTGGTTGATGTCTTACTACTAACTCTAGCGGTTTACAGGGCCCAGAGGAACTCCCGTATGATAAGGAGACTCAGCCTGGAAAACTTTTTCGTTACGGAAAGCAAAAGTCACCACATGAAGGTAGGCGGATACATATCCTATGGTATCTATAGTAAACTCTTATTCTTATTCTAGATGGATCTGTTTCTGGGTCGATTGCTCCATCAGGAGGTTCGAGTTTATCCACTGGGCCTCTTTGAGGTCTCCAACGAGCTAACCTTGTTCTTTCTATCGGCCATGATCACCTTTGTGACCTTCCTGGTCCAAACACAGTGGCAGAAAGTTTAATTCGCCGTCACGGCTTGGTTGCGGCATTGCACCCTCCCGAATCTCGAGGAGCGAGACCACACCTGTCGACCCACCACCTGCGCCCACCTGTCCTGCGGTTGCACGCAACTGGACAGAACGGAGGTTACAAGCTTAAATCGGTTGCTGGCAGGACCCGATTCCCAATTTCCGCCTAACAGTTTGTTCCGCTGCAATTTTTCCCACGAAACCTGGTCGCGGCATTAATTAAACATTCATGCTGACGTCGAGCAGAAAATTTATGCACCAGCCTAAGGAAAAGAAATGCCGAGACAGAAATACACGTTAAAAGCCGCATAAAAACAAGGCCGAGGCCGTCGCTCTAATTAGCATAGGTTAGGGTACAAAGCCCCGTTCCACAAAAAAAGGGCCCATAAAGGTGCAGTTGCCACTGATGCGGCTGCTACTGCTGCACTTGTTCTTCGGAAGCAGGAGAAAATAATAACAATAAAAAAGGGCCAAGGACCGGCAGCGGTGATAAAAAGTCAAATTACCCTGCAGATAAGTGCCAGGGAACCGAGATGAGATGAACATTATTATCTCGAAAGGGAATGGAGACTGGATGCGGAATAATGACACGATTTGTTCTGGTTTAGCTGCAGAAGCCATTCCTTGGCAGGATGTACTGCATTTTGGAGGGCTTTACCTAACTATTAAGTACACGGATAAATCACTCAAACTAGCCTCGGTTTTAGAATAACACTCTAGTTACCTTAGGACAGGTTGTAATATTAGTTCTTCTGAGTATTTTGTGTAAAATGTATACTTATCATCTGAATAAATTAACAACTATAAGCCACTATCTAGGAGATATGAAAATGAGTTCTGAGTTGGTGGAATGGTCTCTGAAAATAAACGCTGGACTTTTATTACAGCTCCCTTCAATTTCTTTGTGCGTGCTGTGTGTAAACGGCAAGAGATAATCATAAAACATGGCATTGCTTAAATAATTGTACTTCATAAGAGACATAACCGAAGAGTTGGTGAGAGAGGCCCCGGGTTGGGGCCATTTTTCCCATGATTGTTCTGCTGCCGGCTGGGTAATTATGGGTCACTTTTTTTGTACCGAATCTCTTTCTTTCCTTTCATTCCGCAATTATCATACTTACCTGCAACTATGTTCCGTACATACATACATCAAACACATAAAGGTGGAATCAGGAGGAACGAAAAAAAAATTAATGATGCTTTCAACATTTCACTAGACTCAGAACAACATGAACTTGGAGTGGCTGTTGAGTTGCAGGTAGCGGTGTTTGCTTTTGGCCAAAACCCACCCGGCCCAGCCAGAGCCCGGCTAAAAGTACAGCTAGCAAGCGGATGGAGGAAGTTTCATAATAATCATTATGATGACCATTATGCCGATGAAAGCCACCGATTTCAATCAAGAATCAGAACGGTAGAACAGTAGCAACTTGGAAATCAGCAGGGAACCGGGCAAAAATCCACATCGAGACTCATTAGCCCTAAAAGCTTTGGGGGCCCGGAAACCCGACGAGAACTGCTAAAATGCCAGATATCGTGGCGTGATTGCTATAATTCTGGCATCCAAATTGAGTGCCTAAAACCGAAAAGCGACTCCCCCCAAAAGTGATCAAGAAAGCCCTTTTCATGATCGACAATGGACGGACGTAATTAGCCCTAATTTATTTATGGCTTAATCACACAAAGGGCTTTTTGACATTGGAATGGTTATATAAGCCTCTGATTCAGATAATGGCTGCGGTTTTATTTTATCTAATCAGGCTTTTGTAGACTATTTCCGAGGATGGTTTTCTTTAGGCTTGAATTTTGCAAGCTTTAGCCATTTACTTAGTAAGGCTTGAAAAGTACCTACCAATAGTCACCAAATTTGCTATCTAATCTGTGTGTTTATCGTTTTATTAGCCATAATTCACGTCTATGGCCTGACAGGAATCGGAAGCTAGTGGCTTGTTACTGTGACACATCACAATCAATCATCAATCAATTTAGGTCATATTCAATCAAGCTGCCAGCACGAATCGCATTGGAATTTTCCATCTAAGGAGTGCATGTCTAAAATCAACTTTATGGCCTTTCGAGCTGCATACGCAGAGGCAGCTACCCAGTCCCCATGAGCTCCCACTCGGTTGTCAATTTTATGCACGAGGCTAATTAAAAATGGCACATTAATGCAATTGCCGGCCCAACCTTTTCTAGACGCGTTGCCATCTAAGCACATATTCGTACATACACGTTCGTACTATATGTGTCTATAAATAAACATAATGATTAAGGTGGTCCTACTATATGACACAAAAATATGTAGATTATTATTTAAATAATTTATATTTTCCAAAATAATTAGGCTTAAGCTTACCAAAACCAATTAATAAGAAAAAACCTTTATCAGAAAATTAAAATGTGTGACATAACAAATAGCTCTGTTTTGCCTCTGAGGTATTTGACTAATTAGTAATACCCTGGGGATTTGAAATGTGGAACTTAATCGATTCACCCTATCCAGTACAGCCTTTTGTTTGTATGTGAATATTCGTATTTGTATGCAGAAACCAAGTAAAAGACAAAACGTTTCGCAGGCGACTGTAAAAGTTGGAGCCCCCAAAGAAATTGGCACGAGCTGAGCACACGTCTCCAACTGGGAAGTTGGAGTCGGAGATGGAGTTGGATTTTTGGGTTGGGGGCCATCGCCTCGGATCTGGTTGGAGCTGCCGCTGCTGCTGGTAGCAAAGGCGTACAGTTTCTGGTTCGGCATTTTACGAGCACAACACATATGGCGGCGGGAGTCTCTGGGAATCTGCCAGTTCGCGGATCCGCGAAGGGGAACTCGTTTTGTGGGCCTTTTCAGCTTTTGGGGCCGCGTAGGCGCTCGACACACGCCCAGTTGCTTGGTTGGCTGGATGGATGTTGAAAGACGAAAGGGCAGCGCAGCGCGTGTGCAACGTGCCAGGCAGCAGCATCTGGAGATCTACTCTGATCCAGTTTTCCAGATCCACAGCCCCAAAGCCCAGCAAAATCCAAAGAACAGACAACTGGCAAATCTCGACAGCAGAGCGAAACACAGTAGCTGCAGGCCAGGTCGGAATGACTCGACTCGAATGGCGCAAGATAATCGATGTATACTAATTATTTGCTTTGGCTGCAACTGTTTGTCATGCTCCGCTCAGTGGCTGTACATCTGTGGGTACAGCAAAAACAAAAAGCGTCCGGCAGAAGGCCAGAAGTCCACCACAAGTCCAGGAGTCCGGCTAAAAGGCCCCACAACTCAGGCCAAAACCTAACCGAGCCGGCCGACGGTAGCCAACACCCCAAAGAAAACAGTCAGGGATCTGCACTGAAATAAATTATAAAGATATACCTACAAAGAATACCCTTGCCTTCAATTTATAATCTGTCATACATAAATCTTTGTATAAAAGTTTCTAAGCAAGTTTTAAGAGGAGGGCTTCAATGTCGTGAGCCTAATCCTATAATAATGGTATTATTTTAAAGCTCTATAATACTATAGGCTTGAATATATGTTATGGATAGTTATGAGCGAGTGATTGAAATATACATTTGAATAAAGTTCTTCCATACCGACCATACCTCATATCCCATACCCCAAGACATAGACGTATTTCAAACTGGCTCAGAATTTCTCCAAGTGCATGAACTCGGACAGACGCACAGATGCGAGTCCCTGAGTGGAAGCTGTAGCTGAGCAAATATATCGCCGTCAGCTAAAATAATGGTCATCGACAGCAGCAACAACAACAGCAACTGGCTTGTTGTTGCAGACGATCTTGGGCAAGGTTGCGGACGATTTGGAGTCTTGGAATGGGTGAGGTGAGGGTTCTGGGTTTCTGGGATGCCTCGGATATAGAGGGGAGATATTGGAGGAATAGTGGCATAGGGGAGAACCGAACGAACTCCGCACGGTAGTCAAGTTTAGACACCTTAAGTACACAGGAAAGCGTCATTTATGCGCTCGTTTTCAAAAACGACAAGCACTAGGCGTGGCACGAGAGGCAGGAAGGACGGTGGGGGGGTGTCGAAGGGTTGGCTGGCCCGGGGGTTGGGTGCACGATTAATTGCACACACCCGGTGAAGATCACTTTAAAACGCAGCCAAATTATAGATATCCAGCAGCCTAGATTCAAGGCCAAAATATTGCATATTGCATATTGCATGTTGCATGTTGCATATTGCATGTTGCTGCCTCCCCCTGCCCGAAAATCGATATCAACCAGCCCCAACCTATGCGATTGAAACAAAAAAAAACAAAAACAAAAGCTAAAAGCACAACAAAAAGTACAGTCCACAGAGATCAGCGAGCAACAGCAACATCAGTGGAAGAGAGACGGCCCCGGGCCAGAGGGAGATGGAGCGTTTTACGTCAAGTTTTCGTTTGGCTTTGGCCAGCTTTTTTGATTTGGCCGAGACGTGTGGCAAGCCCAGGTCTCGTCTCGAAAACAGGTTTCTCTGATTTCAGATTTGGGAGCTGCAAAAAGTTCAACAACTGCTGCAGATGTTGTTGATCTCTGTTGTTGCTGCTGATGTTGTTGCCTCCAAGTTGTTGGTGTTGCAAAGACAAGTAGCCGAGAGACAACGACAAACGAGCGAACGTTGCGTAAATTACACGAAAGAATAAGAAAACGCACAGCCCAAGAAAAGTAAAAAAAAAAATATTAAAGTCAGGAGAACTAAACTAAAAAACTAAAAGAAAAAAAAACAAGAATAGAAGACACTGGAAGTTAAGTTTTTCTTAAATTTAAACTATAAATACTTGGCTTTTATTGGGAAATCTTTTATAAGAGTTCAGAAAAGCCTATATAACCACAAACCAATATACCTTTATGATCCTCTGTAGTCGGCATTAGTTATTAAATGGCAATACGTTTGGAGCTCGCTCTCTATTTCTCAGGTCTCCCCATCTCTTTCTCTAGCTCTCAGCTTGGCTCTTTCTAACGCTTCGACTGTTGAATTCCATATGCCCCAAAGTGCGTTAATTTGTGGGAAAGTGGGTCAGATACACACACACACACACCGAATTTTGGAAGCGGTTCATCGAACACAAAAATAACGAAATGTCAGAGTTTGCCGCTGTATTGGTGAGTGGGTGAGGATCACCGCCCCCTGCCCGGGGCCACAGCCCCCCGAAAAATGACGCATTAAATCGCATTTCTTGTGGATACGCCATCGAATGGGTGTAGGGTATTCGGGTTTGTTTATTTTTTTGGTTGGGGTCTTAATTCGACTCTTCAAAGTGTGTCGCAACGCAACTGCAACCGCAAGATAGATAAGATAAGGGAGCCTCGGTGCCCCGGGGGTTCTTGACCTCATTTCGGTATTTCATTTTGTAATATTCAAATTGTTTGCCAAGTCGTAATGTCAATGTGGCCCTAATAAAGATAGACACGAGAGTATGTCAAGATATTTACCTCGAAAACGGTCTAAATATTTGAAAAGATTAGAGCCCTTATACTCACACGGATCAAGGAAGCATTTCTATCATTTTCAGTAGCACATTGTGGCTTAAAAGTGTCAAGAAAGCATTAAGATACTACCTCAATGTTAAACCCAAAAACCCAGCCCAAGACCCAGAATCTGTTCTCGAGACTCGAGTTTATCTCAGATTTCTCAGTAGGGCATTCGCAAATTCGTGGAAGTCGGTTCTGCGAGGTGGGGCAACTTGTTGTTTTGGCTTTGTAGGTTTTTAGGCCAAAAACGGGTATTTGGCATTTGCTGTTTTTGGCATCGGAGTACGAGCGAGCCGCCGAACGAAGCGTAGTACGCAGCTGGACTCCCCCGCTCCTCGTATCCGCCAGATACTCTCATGCTCGTACGCCGCCAACCTTTGAGATACAACCCAGCCCACAGATGTTTTCTTCGGCTGATTGTGTTGTTTGTGTGTTGTTCGCGTATCTGTCGCCCACTTAATTTACTATGCATTCTGATCGTATGTAGTATGCTGAGAATATGTAGTGGCAATAACAACAGAAACACAATCGAAGAATTTATCGTACTCATTCTCGTTCTTGGGTCGCGGGTCTAGACGGCCCCCACCTCCTCCTGGGCCTGGGGCCCTGCTCCACAAATGAAGTTCAAACAGCGTTTGGGCACGCTTGTTTGCTAGACTCCCACCCCGGTTTAGGGCTCTTATGACAAATGAAGTTGTTATTTCGTATGTGTCACGTTTGTGGGCACACGATCTGCCTCATGCCACTGCCACTGCCCCCAACTTTGAATCACGTTCCCTCTGTTGATTGCGATTGTGGTTTCTATTTTGTTTCCGCCGATTCGTAAGTGAAAGTAAGTATCTAAAACATGACGTAGCGCCCCCTTCGATTGTTTGGCTTGTGCGGCGGCTTCTGTAGATTTCAGAGGTCAAAACGTTGCCGCATTATTTACCCACCGGCTTGATAGGCTACTACCAGAGGGTTCCGGGGATTCTACGAGTGGGGTTTCCACTAAGCCATGATTTTAGGGGGCTTTCCACCGACCGATAAAAGGGTGACTTATCCCAAGTTCTATCCTAAGTAAGTTGAATTCATGGCATGTTTAGAAACTCCCTCTCCAAAAACACATACCACGGCACTGCAGTTCTTTAGGGGCGGCATCTTTCAACTGATTGTGGCATCCCGGCAATGCAGCAGCTTTGGATCCCACCTGGGTCTTCAGATCCCCACCCAAAGCCCGAACCCAAGCCCTGTACAGGGCAAACTTCCGAACTAATTACATTACGGAATACCTGAAATGTTGCAAACGGCAGGAAATCAGCGAAATGGGAATGAGTCTCCTCCTCAACTCATTGTTTGTGGTGTGGAATGGTCTCGGTTCTGGATCCCCGCTGGTGATCTGATCTAAGTTGGCCGGAAATATGCATGGCTTGTTGGCTCAGCTTTTGGCCAGCTCCAAATGGGCGAAAAAAACAGCGAAAAATTTGAATGTGCTCTCGTCAGTGTCAGGAATTGGAAGATCCCCGCCTCCCGGCTAGTACTCATCCCTTCCGCCCTGGAAGCCGACTCCCCCTCCCAAATAAAACAACTACAGTCGGTGTTCAGCGAAGCAAAGAGCTCGGAAATTAATTCTGTTGCAGGCCAAGGCGCGTACTTTTGCCGTTTTGTTTGCTTTGTTTCCATTTCGCCAGGTCAGTTGTGATCGAATCCCGGGACCAGATGACTCCACTATAACCTCTCCACGTACTCATTATATACTGTGCAAGGGAATACATATATAATAGGCGTGACAAGCGCGCTACGCTTCGCTGACGCCCAAAAATAATCAAAGACAAAGGCTTGAGTTCAGTCGAGACGATGGTGATGACTATGATGTGATGGAGTTAAGTGGGGGTGGGGCACACTCAACAAAAAAACTCCTAAAAAATTTAAATAACTATATTATAGAAGTTCTAATAAAAAGAAGGGGATAAAGTCACAAAAACCCCCTAGTTTTCCGAGTGTAATGGAGGTGGGCTTGAGTAGCGGGCGTTCAGGAGTCGGAGGAGCCATCATAATTACACCGTGTCAGACGTGAAATTTCAATTTTTTGTTACTCATTCGCATTTCTTTTAAATATTTGTGTGGCTCGCTTAACGAGCTCATCTCGGAGGCACTCCGAAAATTGTACCAGAATGTCTTGTGGCATGAGGAAGGTATAATGAACGATAATGAACTTTGGGAGGTTCCAGGTGAACTCTGCGGTTAAGGTTAACGCATCCGATGGCCAGAGACGGAGATTTCATATAGTGTGGGTGCTGAGAAAGTCTGGGAGTTGGTAATTAAAATAAAGACAAAAATTCTAATGCTAGGTTATATATTTAATAAAGATATACATCCATTACTGGGCCTGGAACTGCTTTCGTATCTCATCCGATGCTTCGAATCCACCTGTAATGCCAAACTGAATCATTATGAAGAGGTATGACACCACGGCTGACAAAATAACCAGGATGAACTCATTGTTCAAATGAAAGAAGCCCAAGACCTTAATCTCGAGCTGCTGTGTTTGAAGCTGACAGAGGAAAGTTTCTACCTGTGGGTATCGCAAAAATGTAAACAAAACACATTCATTTCAGATGAGAAGTAAGCTCACACTTTTGTCCCACCGCTGATCGATATCAGTGCAGACCACGTCCAGAGGAAATACCTTGGGCTTTTGGGATTCTCTCACGACGTAGTCCGCGCACATGATTAGCAGGACCAGGTTGGCCATTTTCACGAAGGCCATGGCCAGGGAAATCAGGGCCGACTCGTCGTCCTTCAGGTACCGGAAAATGCACTGATAGAGCATCAGGCAGATGTTGATGAAGTTGTAGTAGATGCAGAACAGTATCTGCCACTGGAGCTTGCGCCTGAAGGCGATCGTTAGGGCGTAGAGCTCACTGTAGATCATCGCCACCTCGTCCAGCTCGTCGGCGTAGTCGCACAGGAGTCTCATTTTGCGGTACTTGCTCATGCGGTCCTTCTCCTCCTGGGAGTCTATGATCTCCATGCGCTTAAGCATCACTGAGATGTTGTTGGCCATGTGCTCGTAGAGGATGCCGGAAACCAGGAAGCCAAGGAAGCAGACGTCCAGGACGAAGATCGTGCCCAGCCACATGTAGATGCCGAAGATGACGGCCACGGCGGGCATGATGCCCGCAAAGTGCTTGGCGCTCATCAGGGGAAATAATTCGTGGAAACAACTGACCATAGTGACCAGCGCCTTCAGGAGGAAGAAAACCACAAATTTTGTCGGAAACAGGTGCGGCAGTCGGGTCGCCGAGCATATCCTTTTATAGAGGTTGAGGTATCGATTGAGCACCTCCCGGAATTTGGCCTCGCCACTAGCTTGGATGATGAAGGATACCACGGCCAAGACGGAAACTGATGCAGCCTGGAGGGCGGCGAATAGCTCGGCATAGCTCTTCGGTGTCGATTCCACAAGATGGGCGGACAGTGCCGGCCATACGGCGGAGTAGATGACAACCACCAGACATCGCCAGATGATGCTAAAGAGCTTGATGGAGCTGCCACTCCTAGGACGCTTCAACTGCAGCTTTTCCCTGTCCAAGGTCGAGGACAACAGTGACAGGAGTCGGGCTACGCGATAAAGGTGGAGCAGCAGGAATCGCGACCACTTCTCACTGCTGGTTGGAGCCATATCCAAACGCCAACTGAAGTGGAGCAAATGACATGTCCTGGCGACGGCGATAAGAATCCCGATTGGGAGTCGATTTTATTAATTTAATGTGTGGATATCGGCAATTGCCATTCACGCTCCGCTGAGTGGCGCGTTGACTGATTGGCCCCAGTCCTTCAGGTCCGGGAAATAAATAAAAACAAGAAGGAGTGGCTTCAGTTGAGTTTGTCGACTATATGATACCTGGTACTTACACAGGTCTTTCAATATTAGGTTGTCTCTGGTTAGGCATGGTAAGATTGGCTTCTTTTTATTAAAGTTTATGTATATTCTACCTCATGAATGACATTCCTTCCAATACAACATACCCTTGGAGTCTTCAAGTACCGGGTATGCTAAACAACAATCGGGAATCGATGATGATGGACAGGCCTGCCCCGGACCTACACATATAATATCATCCAATTGGCTGGGCTCTTCGACAGGGTCCGGGCTCTGGGCTCTTAGTTCTTGGGCATCGCCCTTCGGGCCCAGGCCTCGCAACAGATGGTGCTCGAGAAATAAAACCATCATCGGCACAAAAATGAAAAAAAAAAATGGGCGTAAATTGATATTTATGAACGTGTCAATGAAGTTGTTTCGGGGTTGAGTAGGATCAACAACAGAAATCTCCAAAATTCTCCCATTGGAATTTTGTAATGAGGTGAATGGACCTCATAGACTGGCTGACTGGCTTTCATACTGTATTTTAATATCTTCAGAATAAAACTAAATACATCTTGCTAACACTAAATATCTAATTTGTCGTGTATTGTTTAGCTAATTATTTTTATTTATCAACCAAAAACAAGAGTATAATCAATCTTTTCAGCTGCATCTTGTGTGGCATGTTATTTAGAGCGATTAGTGACGTTAATTCTACTCATTATCTTGATTCTACTAATTCGAATGTTAACACCGAATCTGTTGCCGAACACACAACTCGAAACGCAAACAATTAAGCTTCCATTAACCTACATAAGTACTAAATTAAATAGAGATAGTGGGCATTACAAACATTGTGGGGAGGGCCCCCAAAAATGTCACCTAGATTACATTCCAGTTATTAACAAAATTATTCCGATATGAACATAAGATAATTCTTCGAAAGTGTCTTGAGATAGTATTTGAAAGGGAATTGCTTGTTTATTTTTCCAACTGTATGCCTTTTGCGATTCTTATCAGCCAGACCATATTGCATCAAGGCCCTGACCCGTTTTGCTCGTTCGTTTTCATTTAAATAGAATTTTGAAATACGCCTGAATGCAAATTTCATTTCCATTTCAATTTCAATTCACTCGCGGCCAATTAGTGAGCCGATGACTCCGGCGGAATGGAGACTCGGAGGAGTAGGAACAAATGGGGCCCTCACCGATTTCCCACTCCCATTCACATTTTCCGACTTCCCACTCCCACTGGGGACTGCAAGTTGCCAAACACGTTTGCCGGGGCATTAGAATAGCTCCACTTGGAGTCATTGAACTCGCAGCTGCGACTGGTGGCTTTCATCCAATCCAGCCAAAGTTGTAAGAGTCGTACAGCAAGAAGGAAGTCCAGTCTCGAGGAGCTCTACAACTGGGAACTGGCAATAGAAAAACAACAGAGTCAACAGCCTTCAGCAAATCCAGTTGGGGCTGGGGCTGGGGCTGGGGCGTTGCAAGTTGCAAGTTGCTATTGCGAGTTGAAGACAGCAAAGCAAAACACACCAGCAACACGATCGGCGATCAGCAAGAAGCAACCAGCAACAGGTCTAGTCCTGGTCCGATCAACAACTTGGATGTGGATGCAGCTGAGGATGTGGATGCGGATGGAGTTGAGGTTGATGCTGGAGGTTGAGGAGCAGCAGCAGCAGCAGCCACAGCTTAAAATGGGCGTGCAACAAGCCTGGGCCCCCAATAACTGGTTTTCCTAGATAGATATATAGACAGATAACGCCGCCGCTCGACTAGAAAGTCGCTGCTCTGCTTGGCTCCAACTAGCAACTTGCAACAACAGCCCCCATCCAGCGACAGAAGCAGCAGCACTAGCAACTGCAACAGCCACAGCATCCTGCAACCAGTTTACGTACAGTTCGCCTCCGTGTTATTACGATCCAAAGTACATGGGGTAATTGCATGGAGCAGGCCTGACCCCAGTCTCCTGGGCTTCAAAGATGACCAGGCTGATGAGTCCAGGGGATAGAGCTTCGCTTGTCAGACACACAGGGAGAAGTTACAACTAGTTATGAATATAAACTATATATTATTAAAGTTATTCAAGATAATAATAAGGGTTTAGGGACATTTAAAGTTCATTCTATTAAAGATTAGGATATGAGTGAAGTATAAAATCATTTCTGATCTCTTTTTCCTGTTGCCCTTCTAAATCTTTAGTCTTTAGAGCCTTACAAATCTGAAGATCAGGACATATTCCTATTCTATTTAGGACTATTAGGCCTATTAATGAGTAATTATAATTCATTCCCCAATTTCTCACTGTGCCTGAATGTAGTAAGATGCTAGAGCTACTCCATCTGCTGGAGCGGCCAATGAACTGTTGGAAAGACAATAGGAGCAGGTCCAGAGCCAAGCCCTGATCTCGGACAGGGAACGCGCTATACCAATGGATGCTTCAAGCTTCAAGCTGCGAGCTGCATGCTTCATGCTGCATGCTGCTGCCTATGTAGCTGCTGTGTTGTTTTGCTAAATTGGAAATAATTGCCCCAGGGGCAGCAGCAAAATGCACGTGTGCCCTTTTCAGTGACGAAGGCAAGGCCTTTCTGAAGGGGGGTGTGCATTTATGGAGGTTTCAACTTTAAGCCCATTAGCTGGCAGGTGTTGGGGTCACTTGAAAGAAAGAATACCGTAAATCTTTTTTGATAAAAAAAAAATTCAGTTCAATAGGAGTACTTTGTCACCGCCACTGGCATTGTTGCTGCGCTGCCGCTGCGCTGTTATCATTGTCATCAGTTGTTGTTGTACTCGGCTATGACATAAAGTGCGCTGGGATGGGCTGGGCTGGGTGGTGTGGGGCTTGGGGGAGGGATCCCAGCTCAGATCGGCGAGCGAATCTGCGAAAGCAAACACACAATGAGGAAAACGCAGAGCGGGCCAGAGCCGAGCGGAGCAGAGTCGTGGGGCAAAATAATAATAACAATAAAGTTGTGTACGACACAATAAAAAAGTACAGGAAGGTTCAACGACATTAGGAGATTAGAGAGCATTCACATGCGACGACGCAGTGGCGAAAAGAGAGTGTGGATACCCATACCCATACCCATACCCATATCCATATATCCACTCGTATGCACATTTAAATACGTAAGTGTAGGAGAGAGTCGTTGGGAGATCGAATGCGACGCGACGCATAGAGTACAACAGAACAGAAAAAAAAACAAAAAAGTCATCGACATCACATGGATTCCAGCGGGGGTCGGGTGTAGGAGGGAGTGGGGGGGCCAAGGACAGGGCAAGGGGCAGGGACTATGCCCCACCAGAACCGAGACAGGAAAATGTTTTTCATTGTCTATGCCCGTTGGAGAAAAACTAAAAGCGACCAGATGGAGCTCCGAAGATCTTTTCAAGGTGCACTGAAAAAAAATGCTCCACTTACTATAGATGGTGATTTCCTTTTCAGTACTGAGCATTTCTTTCAGTGAATGGAGTTGCAATCATCACAGTTGCGGGAGACATGCCCCATGCGTTTGCATAAGCAGCAACAACAAAGTCAGAAATAGAAAATTAAAAAAAAACCAGAAGGAGGAGCAGGACCAGGGGCACCCCACCAGGGGGGAAAGTGCACAAAGACAGCCCATGCAAATGAAGATGGGGCCCTGCACTCGGCTTTTCGCCACCCCCGCCCCTGGGCACTTTGCATTTTGGCGTGTGTTGCTATTTCCAGCCACTGCTACTGAAGATACAGATACTGGTGCTACAGATACATACTTGCCTAAAGATCCCTATTCTGGGATCCCCCACCCAGGTCCAACCCCTGCATTGCTGGCAGGGCTAGAAGTCGGCGGCATTTGCTTCCTCTCGATTTGGTTATTTAATTACGAGATGGGGATGGGGACTCTTGGGCTCCAATAGTCGGCTGGTGGTCGTCAATAAGACAAGGTTTGGGAAGAAAAGACCGAACTTTGGATACTTCTCTTCCATCGCTAAGAAAACCTCTTAAAAGTTCAAAGAATTATACCATTAGGTTCTATAGAATCTGAATCTGTAGAGACCCTAAGCCCCCATAAAGATTCCCTACCATTTGAATGTCAATTTCGAGATACCCCCAGAAGAATAAAAAAAAAAGGGTTAGCAGACAAGTGCACATGGAACTAAGACAGAGGAGGCTGGTGGTGGATTTGATTAGGTTTTCAAAAATCGATTCTCCAAAGAATTTATTTGCTTTGCCGCCTCTGTGAGAAAATAAACATGGGGAGTCTCAGGCCCTAAAGAATCTAGAGGAGGGGGACCGAGGCTGAGAATGGGACTTTCTTTCTCGTCTTTCTTTCCAGCCATCGATGCGTTTGTCTCGCCTTTGTTTGTTATCACTTGAGCAGTCTGAGCAGTTTTTTACGAATTGATTAAGGCGGCATTTGTTTACGACCAACAGGTAAACACCCCAGAAGAAAGGGGGAAAACAAAGACAACCAGCAACAAGAATGGAGGGTCTGTAGCTTTCCGTTTAAAGGCTTTTACAGTTGGATTGTCGATATGTTCGGGACGGAAGTACAAGCCGTCAGTGGGGTTTTAACACAGTGAAGTCTATATGCCTAGGCTTGAGATACTGTTTGTATCTTATAGATACCAGTCTTACAACCTCGTTATGGCTGGGGGTTTCATGCAAAAAAACAATTAAAACCGTTTACCGAAACACGATTAACGGACGTTTACTGCAGATTTTTTGGATAAACTCCTCTGTTCTGTTCTGGATTCTTGAAAATTATCTGACGACGTCGTAATCGTCGCGGTTGGGATCGGTTCTGGCGTTGCTGTAGTTGTAGTGATTAACCAAGCCATGACGAATAACCAGCACACCTGACAATTTGTTAATGAGAGCAACATCCCGGCAGCAGCAGGAAGCCAAGCGATAAAACCAAAACCCGAAAAAAAAAACCAACCAGAACCCCGTCCAGCAAAGCAACCGAAACGGATGACGGATGTCCTGCAGAGGAGCAGCACTGGGGAGTAATGGCCAAAACGAGTCAGAACAAAACGGAGCGGATCGGAGAACATAACTAACTGCAGTAAAAATGTAAATAATGCAAAACATTTTCTCACCGCGTTTCGCTGCGGCGCACTTTTTAGGCTTCCCCCCCTTGAGGCAACTCTCGGGTCTCGGCCTCGGCCTCGAGCCCCTTTCCGCCGGAAGGGAACTTGTTTCATGGGAAATGAAATGCAAGTGCGAACGGTATAAAAAAGTGCTATATACCATATATAGCATCAAAAGAACAAATCATGTGAGAGATCAGGGAAGCTTTCTAATTACGATGACAGTCCAGGGATCGAGCAGCAGCTGTGAGATACAAGATACTAAATGGATAGATGGATGACTGGATGGATTGGTGGCAGAAACAACATATGGACACAGAAACTGAGATGACCTTTTTCCCAATAATAAATGGATATGCATATATTCACAGTGCAGCCCAGCCCATTTGTAGTGAAATTTAATCAAGCGTTTAATGCCAAGGTGGAACGTCGAGGGAATATAATACAGGGGCATGGAACAGAGAGAGGGAGGGCGGTATGCACCTGAAGAAATACATTTTTATTAAAAATAAATAGCTATGCTTATGCCTTACCATCTTTGAACCTAATTCCCTCGACTTTTCTCTCAGTGCCTAGAGGGTGGATGAGAGGGGCTTGGCTCGAGTGAGGGCGTTCTTAGTGATGCTGAACCGGGCTCAGGATACAGGGTTGGGTTTGGTTTTAGTTTGCTGGCTTTCCTGGTCTGGGAGGGATCCTGCTGCTTGATGTGCCTGTCATATGTCAGTCCTTCAGTCTCCTCGTTTTTCTGCTTTTCCTCTCACCTACAACGCTGGTTAATGACATTTTGCAGTTAATTGCCGCCGTTTCTGTTTACGGCCCAGCCATATGGGCCAGTGGAGCTGTGGATCAGGGCCTGCGGAGATGCACTTCCAGGCAACGTAATTTGACTACATTAACTGAATATGCCATAACATGATCAAGCGAAAAGAGAAAGGCCCTGTCCAGGGAGGTGGTGTGGTGTGGGATGGGATGGGATGGGTATCGGTGTCTAATGATGCTGCGTCAGGGTCTAAGCCATCCATCAAGCGACAAAGTCAAGTACAGTCGCTAGGGGTACAGTCCTAAAGACATAGTTTTAAAGCAAAATTAGTCAATGCCTATCATGATTTGCATTATCTTTATCTTTATTCAAATATTAACTCTAAAATACAATGTTTTGAAATCTTCAATCTTCTGATTGCCCCACAATATCGACTGACATTATCCGATCAGTTGAACGACAGACCTCTTATTGTTCATCCATCCACCTCTCTCGATAGATATCGTTTTTGGCGCGCACTCTTCCCAGCGGACCAGGTAATATCCTACTAGAGACAACAACAAACAGGAATCAGATTCAAGTAGGCAGGTACATGCCGTATAGGGGAGGGAGGCTCGCTCGAGCGTAGGACGTGGACGGGAGGACAGGGCAAGAAGAGATACGGACATATATATTGGCAGAAACCTGTTTTTATAATGTCAATTCGAATCCTACACGTTCATGTCCATCCACACGCATTAAGCGCGACAGTCGCAAGTCCAAATGACGAGGATCGCTGGCGGGACAGAGACGGGCATACAGCGGTTGAAAGAGAGGGGGAATACACGCCAGAGGGAATAAGGAACTCGTCGAGTTGTTGGCGTTGAATTTGATTTTGATTTCACCTGAGTGGCTGGGCCTCTTCGACCCTGCCTTTTTTTTTCCAGTTTGTTTTTGTTTTTGTTTTTTATTTTTTTTTTGTTTTTTTTTAGTTCTGCTTGGCTGCCTTGGCCGTGTTTTTTACCTTTTTTTATTTTTACTTTTGTCAACCAACAAGGCAGCAAACAAATGCAAAGCAACGACCTACGACTTCTTCACGTGATCTCCAGTTGTTGTCCTTTTTGTTTAACAGTACAGTAGGCCCTAAGGAAATGAATCGTGGGGTAAGAGAGGTAATATTTTGTGGAAAACACTCTATTATTTAAATAAGATAATCACCTTCTGATTTCTGACTTACTTTGGAAAATATTGCACTTGAAAATGTGTATCTTTCGGGTGCATCCTGTACAGTGCTACCTTATGAATTTCCGTCGTTATTGCTGCTCATTTACACTTGTTGTTGTTGTTGTGTCTCCTCTGACTGGATATTAACCTTTTGTTGTTGTCTGTCCTTTTTGAGATATTTATGTAGTTGTTGTAGTGAGCTCATTTCCATAAGACTGATATTTCATTTTTGAAATCTTTCTGTTCTCTGGATGATATCCCTAGTTTTGTTGTAACTCCTTATCTTTCTATATTTTTTTTTTCACTGTTCCTTCGTCGGGGTTTTGTAATTGATGATGTTTATGTTCGAGTATTGGGCCCTGTCGCCAGCCCCGCCCCCGCCCCCGAGATGGCCCAAAGATTAGGCACCTACGTTGCCAAGAGTGTGTGTGGGTTTTCCTCTTCTCGAGCTGAGGCTTCCCCTGTGCCTGGCATACTAATGAAAAATATCTTAATTTATTCTAATGGGCTTATCAAATTCTGTGGCGTAATAATAATAATAATAGAAAAACTGAATGGCGCGTAAATGAAAATAATGTAAATTCAATGGTAATGTGCAGATACATGTATTCCATATAAGGAATGTTATAAATCACTGCCAACTTGTTGGTTAAATATATCTGATAGACCGTATGGTTGGAATTATGGCTTTTAAGGTAATTGATCCGCAATACCGCTATGCACTTGGCCAACAGACAAAGTATTTATTCGCTTCATTCAGGCGGAAACTATTGGATTTGCAATGAATTATCTATCTCGTATGTATTTGTTTATTATTTTTATCAAATGAAATGAATTATGTTTATCCACCGAGATTTCTGCTATGAAGTACCTTGAATGAATAACCTTGTCACGTCTATTTCATCACTGCAACAATAACCATTTCATCATAAAATGCAATAAAGCACCATAAGAGTTGTTTCTCTCCAGTTCTGGGTGAAAGAAATAAAGTACTTATACGCACTCCTTTATATAGAGAAGGTCGTGAAAATTCTGTCCTATCCTAATTTCTACCAAAATATCCCAACAGGATTGTTAATTTTTTGTCCTTTTTTACATTCCTCCTTTAAAAAAATGTTCCATATATATGTGTATATGGATTTGAATCACTAGTTTTTGTTCATATATTATTTTTCTGTATTTCATGGCATTTTTGTCTTATTCATTGTTTGTTTTTCTTACACAGGTTTTTCTTACTAGCCAGTGCTACCCATTTTGTAGTGGCAACATTCTACAGCTCCACAAGGTGGTTACATTTTTCGTTCTGCACGTTTCAGGCTATTCTCCACATCATTATTTTCTATTTCAACTAAGAGTAGATTGTTATATTTTTCCATTTTTTATTAATTAAATAAGTAAAATATAAAATTAACATATTTTAGTTAGTTTCACAACCAGTGGAAATTCCTTGAGGGGAAATTTATCTACTTGGGAATTTTAGCCACTTATAAAATCTATCGATAACAGGAGCAGTCCCCTGGTGGTGAAATCAGCTAATAGGGAATTTTACAAAGTCTCATCACTAAACTGGTACCCGTCGAGTAAATGAAACTTTTTAATTGAAATGTGAAATAAATCAATATATTTAATAAATAAATAAGCAAATTTAACAATCGACTAAAGATAAACCATTAACTGACTGAAATCGACTGTTTCTGACCACCATAAACCGTTTGGCGATAAATCCCAATCAGAATCGGATCCAATCAGAACGGGTCGTGTTTGTTTTATGCTAAAATCAGTAATTAACGAATTCCAGCAGCTCGGTGGCCGCCCTGGAGTGCGAATTGTGACTTGGGAGTGTTGTGGCAAGCGGTGAAGATAATGGCAAGGCTCAAGCGCTGATTGTGGCAGCGGAAAATTGAAAAATCGGTGGTTTGTACATGAAAATATATGCAAAAAAGCTTATGTGTGTGTGGGTGGGTGGGGGCGGTGCTGGTGTACTAGGAGGCGGGGCGGGGCAAGTGGATGCTGCGACACGAGCAATGCAAATCCCTTAGACAAAGAATCAATTTGCCAATTGTGAGGCCACTCGAATCTAGTAAGAATCTTATAAGAAGAACGGGGCAAGTGCAACTAATGTACATAGAGATACTGCCAGTGTGTGTGTGTGAGGATGGTAGTGGTGTGCGTGTGTGGTAAGGTCGTGTGTGGAAAGTGTCAAGGAATTTTACAACAGCGGGCGGCACACGAGAGCAAGGTGAATCCTTCGACATCGAGCAGAGCATCCGAGGAACCGAGTATCCGAATCGGAGCCAAAACACCGCGCCCCATGCGCAGCTTTGCATTAAACATGACTCTGAAATGTCCTGGCCAGGATCTCCACGACTCCAGCACTCTCTCCATCCCGCTGCTGCCCCTGGGCTCTCGCTCTCGCTCTCGCTCTCGCAGAGTGCATCGTAAATTGTTGCACATTTAAATATTCATGCAACCCGGGCAGCTGGCATAGCTTCTAATTTTTACGATTGCCCATTTTTTTGGGCAACTTTACACGAATTCGTTTTGTGGCGCCTGCGCCCTGAGTGGCACTCTCTTTCGTCCTGGCCGCCCCAACCCCTCCACCTCCCGCTTTTCCTGCTTTTCGGACTTTTTGGAGTGCCATCAAAGTTTTCGAAAGTGTGTTCAAGTGCTGGCCCAAAAGGCATAATAATACATAGTGCTACCAGGAAACATGACAAAGGCACCTCCCTTTGAGGGGGTGGTACTCCCCCCCGCCCTGTGCTAAGCCCCCGGAGGCCACACTTTGGACTATGGCTTGTTTACCTTTTTTTTTGGCTGGCCATCATCATCATTTCCGTTGCAAAATTCACTCCGGCCGTGTCGGAAAGTGTGAAGCTTCCTTCCTATCCGTCGATGTGATTTCGACACTTTGTCGTCATTGTCGGTGCCATTGCAGTTGATTTGGGTTTACACCTGATTTCGAGTGTGATTGACGTATCAAAAAGCTATTTTGTGATAATACCAGCTCTCCCCCTTCCCCAGCTCCCTTCCAAATTTCAAACCCGATACTCGTGTAACTGTCGCCCCCTTTGAGGACTCTGCAAATATTTCAGTGCTAAATGAAATATATCAATCATTGCATTGTGACATTGACAGCAAACTTTAGAGAGAGATGTGGCTGTGAAATAGTTGACATAAATGTATTACCTGTGTGGTTTAATTAGTGGTGTTCCTAGTACCCGATTTATGGCATAGGCCATGATACAACACCTATAAGGTAGTCTCGTCGTAATGACAGATTGTGAGGGAAACAGTGTTGACTAACGAACGGGGTGTTAGCCCTTAAACGGTGACCAAGGTTTAATTTCGACTCCCATAATAAATTAACATATTGTTATCTATAATTGTTCCTTTTATGTTATTGTAACTACATTTTTCATTATTTTTGATCAAAAGTTGAATCTAAAATATATTTCTTTTTTAATTTTTGAATATTAGTAGATGCTATCTGGTTTTATATATACATAAATGAGCTCATTTCCCTTGTTGCTTCACTTTTATTCATAAGTTTAATTCCTTGAATGATTTTGCAATAAAAATAGAAATTTAAATTAAATTTTTTTTACACACAGTTAGTGTTAAATATATTTTGAAATGTATCTGTTGAATCACTTTACGCTTTCCAACACTGAACTATATGTTAAATGAATAACGAGGCTACCTTATAGTGCTCGTTATCATGGAATAGGCCTTCTAAAAAGAGCTTATTTTTTAACCTTCATATCTTGAATATTTTTTCCAATTTGTTTGTTTTTTGTTGACAAATTTTGTAGCACCTTCAGCCTGTTGAATCAGAGCTAAAAATAATGCCAAAAACCTGCTCACCAGACAAAAGCTAATAAAAAAAAACTCACCTTTACCATTTCTGAATTCTTACAGCTTGCAAAATGCATCTCTAACAACAACAAAACAAGGCATATTCAACACCAAACAACAACTACAACGAAGTAGCAACTGCAACAGAAGCAACAACAACATCTAACAAAAAAAAACCAAAAAAAAAAAAGCGAAAACTTTTTGGAGTTGTTCACTGGCTGGATGTTTTTTTGTTTGTTTTTTATGTTGGTTTTTGGAGGGCAGTAGGCGAAGGAGCAGCAGAAACAGGACACAACTCATCAATATTCGAAAAAGCAATTGAGTCGAGGCATCAATTCATCAATTATTCAAAATGACCGAAGACGAAATTCTCTTTGACGACGTCTACGAGCTGTGCGAGGTCATTGGCAAGTAAGTTTTCGTCCTGCCGCTGACAGCTGGCATCCATAGCCATTATCTCATTATGTATTATGTATCCGCCCCGTACGCCCGTGCGCCCATACGCCTGACACCCATGGACAGTAAATCATCCAACTATTCGCCGGCGAGGGCGCTGCAAGGGCGGACGACACTGCTCTTCAATAAAAAAAAAAAAAAACTTTCCAAACTCCCCAAACTTTTGCATTATTCAAAAATATGTGCCACTGTGTTGGTCACTTGGCCCCCGATCATCCTAGTTTACGTTTGAACTTCACTCGCAAAAGTTGTTGCAATTTAAGGTCCAACTTTATTGAATTTTGTTTGCCAAAAGTGTGAATTTTATTGACAGCATTTTCCAAAAAATCATAAAATCCAATTAACGATGAATTTTTAGCTAAATTCCATGAAGGGTGAACTTAAAATGTAACTACTTTGTAAGGAGCTCAACTACACACTTTTCATTTTACTTTATTTTCGAGGAAAATAAAATTTTATTTGGCCCTGCTCCCATTTAGACACAATCAACTTCCAATTGAAGTTTAATCCAAACTCAATACCCACTTTTGCTCTTTTTTTCAGAGGTCCTTTCTCCATCGTGAGGCGATGCATACACAGGGAGTCCAATCAGCAGTTTGCTGTCAAAATCGTTGATGTGGCCAAGTTCACAGCGAGTCCGGGACTGAGCACAGCGGGTGAGTGTGTATTTCTTGGATATCGATGGGAGGAGGAGGAGGAGGGGGAGCATCCGGTGACCTTCTTCGATTTGGGCTCCAGGCTACGCCGACTTCCAGCTCCCGGTTCCCTACTCCAGGGCTGTGTGAATAAATTATAATTAAGCTGCTCAATTATTAAAAATTATGCCGCTGCCACACGTGTAGCACGGTCCCAGGGTCGTCAGTTTGTCAGATACCAAGCTTCCCAGCCAGCCAGCCAGCCCAAGATGCCAATTAAAAAGAAATTGCTCAAGTGCAAGGGCGCCGGGCCGCAGGACTGGAGACCTCGTGTGTCCTGCGAAACAGCTCCGACCATTGACTAAATGATACATGGCAGGCACATAAGTCAGCGCTAAGTCCATTAGTGCCACAGCCAGCTGGTGATGTGAGAGGGTGGGGGCGAGGACATGGCCCCACCCTTGGCTCCCCCTGCTCCTGTCTAATGTCAACTAATTGCCGCTGTTTTGCCGCACCACCCACTTGCCCATCCCCTCTTCTCACAGCGCCAATTCTTTCCATTCCTTTTTCCAGATCTGAAGCGCGAGGCCACAATATGTCACATGTTGAAGCATCCGCACATCGTGGAGCTTCTGGAGACCTACAGCTCCGAGGGAATGCTCTACATGGTCTTCGAGTTGTAAGTTGTCACTCCGGTGGTGTGCCAGGACATTGCTAAATCCATTTTCTTTTCTTGTATCCGCAGCATGGAGGGCTCTGACTTGTGCTTCGAGGTTGTGCGACGGGCTGTTGCAGGATTCGTCTACAGCGAGGCAGTCGCCTGGTGAGGAGGAATGAAATTGTTGTGATCTGTGCTGGTTTTAGACAAGAGGAATACGATTTTTAGGAAAGAAAGGATGTTTAACCGCAGTCTAGACTTGTCAGTGCCTTTATTTAGAAGGAGTTTATACTAGAAATTAAGGATAATGTTAAAAACGCCTGTTCTCAGGCCTCTTTCTGGTCAGAAAGCTTCTTATTAACATTATAACTATATAAAGATCAAAAAGTCTATTATTATGGCTTCAGACATCAAACAACCTCCAAAACCAGCACACTTCGTAACCAAACTATCCCCAACTAAGCAACTCACATTCTTGAACTTTTTCCAGCCACTACATGCGGCAGATCTTGGAGGCTCTCCGCTATTGCCACGAGAACGATATCCTGCACAGGGACGTGCGTCCCGCCTGCGCCCTTCTCGCCACCGTCGACAACTCGGCGCCAGTGAAGCTGGGCGGCTTCGGGTCCGCCATCCAGCTGCCCGGAACACGGGAAACCATAGAAACACACGGACGCGTCGGCTGTCCGCATTACATGGCGCCGGAGGTGGTTACCAGGCGGCTGTATGGAAAAGGATGCGACGTGTGGGGCGCCGGAGTGATGCTGCATGTCCTGCTCTCCGGCAGGCTGCCCTTTCTAGGATCTGGAGTGCGATTGCAGCAATCGATAGCACGCGGTCGGTTATCGGTGGGTTCTAATCGCAACATTGTAGTTGAAGCATAATAATCCAAGTCTTGTAATTTCTAGTTTGAGGCGCCCGAGTGGAAGTCAATCTCGGCCAATGCCAAGGATCTAGTCATGAAAATGCTGGCAGCCAATCCACATCACAGGCTCTCGATCACCGAGGTGCTAGATCATCCCTGGATACGGGATCGGGACAAACTGCAGCGCACCCACTTGGCGGACACGGTGGAGGAATTGAAGCGTTATAATGCCCGGCGCAAGCTCAAGGGCGCCGTTCAGGCCATAGCAGGAGGCACCAATATGGATCCCCTTTACGCCACTGATGCTGATAGTTAGTGTTTGGAAAATAATAAATAGAATCTCTATTGATATTCTTTAATCATTTCAGTGCCCATTGCCGCCGCCACGGAAGAATGGGCCGACGAGGAGGCTGGCATTGAGGCAGTGCAGCGCATCCTGGATTGCTTGGACGACATATATTCGCTGCAGGACGCTCATGTAGACGCCGATGTGCTGAGGGACATGCTGCGCGACAGTCGGCTGCACCAGTTTCTGCAACTATTCGACAGGATTGCCGCCTCCGTGGTGACCAGCAACGGCAGGGCGCCGGCAGCCGAGGCCGTGGGTCGCAGTCGCGAAGTCCTGGACTTGCTATCGTCGAACGCCGGCGGCAACTCTCTGGCTGGCAAGTATGCCAAGGACGAGCTGCTCCAGCTCCTCGCCGCCCCCCACATGCAGGTGAGTCCGGCAGGCTGTGCACTTTACTCTGTTTACACTTACTCTGTCAGGCATTTTGTGGCAAGCTTTATTTTGCAATAATCCGGCAATCACAGGGCTTGACCATGTGGTCATATCAATCTGTGGCAGTCCACCACTCCCGTCCAAGTGGCCAATTCGCTTTGGCTTAAGTATAAACAAATTTGAAATGTATTTAGTGCGGGCAAACAAGGCCGAGAAGGAGGAGGAGCTGCCAGGACTCAGGCGCAGACATAGTCACTAATCCTTTGCCTAAACAGAGACTCATTCAGACAAAATGCTGTACAGGCACATGGCTACACTGGGGGAAATATAAACTGATTTCCAAAGAATTTAACTTTAAGCCACAGGACTCTCTTTATTTGGGAATGAAATGAAGTATATTAATCTTGAAATGAAGTGTCCTCAAATCTTGTGTAATATTTAGACATAGGCATATGTTATTTTGGAAGTTCAATGTATTTATTTTAGTGTATATACATAACAGCTAATGCAACCAAATACAAACAATTTAATCAGAATAAACCGAAATGAATTTCGGACGTAGACCAGTCCCAACAACAGGCATTCAGCCAGGATCTGAGGTTGAAGCAAAATGAAAAGCCGGAGCAGGAGCAGAAGCAGGAGCGCCAGTCCACAGAAGCTAGTATAACTATAGCGACTACAACAACATCCGCGCCCCAGGCCCCCGGACTCCGAGTCCTTTTTCCTTCCCGAGGGCTTTTTGCGCTGAAAAGTATGCTACGAGTACACGGCTCAAGTGCCATCGTTGTTCCGACTACGTCGGCATATGGCCATCCTTTTTCACTCTCCACCCCCTCTTCATGGACCAGAAGCAGGACTAGCAGCACCACTAGCAAAACGAAAGGGGCACAAAAACATTTAACGATAGCGAACAAAAAATAAATAAGCAAAAACAGGCAAGGAGGCATGGTGGCATGGTGGCATGGATGGCAAGGATGGGGGATGGGAAACTTTTTGTTTCCACGAAACATCAAATATCCTTACGGCCGGGGGTCGGAAAGGCCAAATAAAAAATTATTGGAGAATTCTGTGGGGAATCAAATTGATTTCACTTGCTCTGTTATTGGATATGGCTAATGGATAATGGTTATCCACAACATTCCGGCCTCTAAAACGGGCCTGGGGACCAGTCTCAGCAGTCTCAGCGAGAGACCTGAAACCGTAGATGTGCCTCCTCGTCTATTAAAATTAAAAGCCAGTCATCCATTCGAAGGCTATAATAATAATTTGTTCCATGGTTATCATGGAATATTTATTAAATATGCTGCCTGCCTACCAGAAGCTTTAAAATGGAACACTTCTTACAAATCATTTCGTGTAATCAATTTTATGGCGCTTTGTTCGCAAAAAAGTGGTTCTGCTGGAAATGCAAATCATCGCTCACACCACTTTGTAATTGAAAAAGATTCTTTTGGACCAGAACGTTGCTCTGAAACAATAATAATGACTTTTCAGTTATTTGCGCTAAAAATTGTGAATTTTAAAGGCTTTGTCCGGCTGGTCTTGCTAACATAATGTTGACAGATTTGAAAAGCTGGAAAGGTCGTACCCTCTTCAACGACGGGGTGCACTCTTCAAAGCGAAGCTTTAATGTGGAAAAGGACAACTCTGAGGAGTATTTATGTACGCAAGGATTCATCCTCTCACGAGTATCCAATTATTTGCCAGACTCGGCCTAAGCTCCTCATTGGTTTACTCCCTCCCCCATGTACCCCGACCTATAGCTAGGGTATACTGCTATAAAGAATACTTTTTCCCCGACTCGCTGGCTGGATGGGTTGAGTGGGTCTGGTCTGGTGGCGGTTGTGGGTGGTTCGGGTGGGTGGTTTTGGTGGTATTTGGCGGAGTGGACTGGCAGAGTGTGATATGGACGCAATGCTATAACATAACTCTGTGCCATCCACTGTCGTTAATTGCTCCTTGAAGCAGACTACACTTTTTGCGGTTGCCTGCGACTGGTTTTCCCAGATTTTCCTCTTTTATTTATTTTTGCGCCTCTCGTGGCCCTCGGACCGCTGTCTGTCTTTGGGTGTGACGCAAGCCCACCAGCCCCCCCGCCCACTCAGTCTCATTTTCATAAATCCAAGCAGCTAGCTGGAAAGAAAAAAATAACCAGCCAGAACCCCAAAGAATAAAAGAAATATGGAGGCGGGGAAGGGCGAAAAAAGATGAACAACTGCAGGGAAACGCAGGAGGCCCAGCGATGAAAGCCATGAACGAATGTGTTAATGCTATATACACAGCTCGTCGGGGGTGGCAGGGGGCTGGGATAGTGCTGTTGGTGATGCTGTTGTCCACCAGGGCTGCACTACCCACAACCACCAAGCCAAAGCCAATGTCCAAGTGAAAGCTGCAAAGCTCTCGCCGTCTCTGCAAAGTGCAGCCAACTGCAGTCGGGCCTCTCTTTCTGGGGAGACTGTAGGCCCTCTCTTTTCTGCCGACTGCCCTGTCTCCCCCTCTAGCCCTGCACTTAACCCATGTTGCAACACAACGGAGCACTCGTGATTGACTTAAACAAAAAGCGCGCACCCGAGATTTCAGTTTAGTTTGCGGCGCAGTCGCCGCTGGGGAACGTCAGGTTCGGATTCGGATTCGGAATACGGCTACGGATGTGGATTTATTTGCCGCCTGTTTGCTGATGTGTGAAAATGGCGCCGAAATTGGGGCGGCATCCGTATCCCGCCCCTGCTCCGGCTTCGGTTCCTCGGTGAATTGTGGCCACCGAAACCTTCGTCAAGTTGAGAGTTCAGTTTGAGTTTCCAGTTCGAGTTCTAGTTCGAGTCGTGAGTCTATTTCTCAAGTGGCAGCCCCGCACCGCTCGTTTGACCCAATTAACAGGACGCTTACCCGGCCAGGGACCCGAGTCCGTGCCCATTTCCCTACCCAGTGCCCGGTACCCAGTCCCCGTCTCTTTTAGTTTCTCGCTGTGCGACTGAGTGTGCCAATTACGGGCGCGAGTTTCCGCCGTAACCTCCGTCAAAAAGCGAAAAAAAAAATCGAAAAAAACAGCCGCAACGGCCCACGTGTTTGGCGGCAAAATCCACATGGGAGCAATTGACAAAATGGCAACCAGCAGGAGCAGGATCCGAGGCAGGACCAGCAATAGCAGCAGCTTCATCCGGAATCTCGGGGATGCGCCATGGCGCTGGGGACACGCCGTTGCCGTGCTCATAAATTGGCAGCACAAGAAGATACTCCACCTCCACCTCCTCCTCCGCGTCCTGTCGCTGTCAAGCAGCCATAACTCAATTTAAATTCAAATGTGTTACGCCAACGCAACAACAACAACAACAAGAACATAGGGGAGAACCAGCCAGGATAACAACTACAAAGGACTAGAGCAACTAGAGAGTAGGGAAGGGAGTAATAAATGTTTTGTTCGAGGAACAAATAATCAAATTATAAATTGATAAAAGCCGGAAAGTTTTTCGGGGCGCCTTCTTTTGAATGGAGGGGGTGGAGGAGGAGAATGCAGAGGTGTGCTGCTGTTGCCGCTGCTGCGACAACCTATCCATCGGAACGGCAACGGGTACGGGTACGGGCACCACCGCGGAGCCACCGCCACTGGAGCTGTTTCAGTGGATTGGGCTGGAAACGGCCGAGCTGCTGCCCGCATATATAACCCGCTACTACAACAATTTGCACTACCAGGTAAATGGCCTCTTTAGATCATCAACTAACTCTGGGTGGGGAGTGGTAAGTGGCAAGTGGTGGTCTGCCATGCCACGCGAATGCACAGTGGAGTTGTGTCCAAACTTTGATTAAATTTTGTTTTCTGTTTTTGTTTTTGTGAACTCCACCATCGAGTCAAGAGTCAAGAGCGCGGGAAAACAGAGCTTCCCGCATAAAGCTTTTTGGAAAAACTACTTCACAGACCAAACACTTAATTAGTTTTGGGTTTAAATCAAATCCCATCTCTGATGTGCTGCTCATAGCTGGACAACATGCGTGCTTCTGGGAGGGTTATTTGATTTAATCAAATATTAACTTTAAACACATCATACTAGAGAAACAAACCAGAACTTAAAGCCACATCCTGAAAGAAGTTATCTGGACCATTTACCTTATTGAAATCCAATTCCCCCATCGGGAAACACTCTCATCTTTGAGTAAGACTTCTAGGGGACTTCGGCAGGCTATCATTTGTTTATTGTCTCTTTGCCCCGGTGGACACTCATTGAATATTGGCCAATTGCAATGGCAAAATCAATTTGCCAAATGGCCAACGAATTTGCATTTTTGTGTGCCACATACTCACAGAGTCGTTTCTAGCTCGTAACTGGGATGCCATCAGCATTATTACAAGGGTCGTTTTACCTTTGACTTGTTCCTGATTTGCACGGCATACGGATACGGATGTACACACACACATACACTTACTGCGGATCTCCTGCGGATGTGTGCGGTGTGTGTGTGCTTCCCCCGAGTGTGTGTGTGGGTGTGTAGGTTAGTTGACAACTAAACGTGTCAACGAGGCTAAGCAAGCAAACTGTCAGGAGCAGCAGTAGTTCTCCAGTCGCCAGCAGGACGGGGAAAGGGGATGCCCCGCCACCTGCCCCACTAACACATTAGGGTTACTCTTTTGGCTGCACAACACACATAAATGTCCTTCTGCGCTTTCCTTTTCCCCTCGTCCCGCCCCTCGGTCTGCTGCCCAGAAATTGCAGCTGGCTCGGCGACTGCCATCATCCTTGTTATTGTCATTGTTGCCACTGCCATTGTGTTGCAGCCAAATTTGTTGCCACTTCGATGAGATGACAAATTCGTGCCAAATTGTTTTCACTCTCTTGCTGCACTGTGAGAAATGGTTGCAGTTTCTATTTCAAGTTTCTAATGGAACTTGAGGGAAGTACCTTACCTTTCCGATCCTTGAGGGAAGTACCTTAAGCCGTTCGTAGATAAAACACGTAGAAATCTGCCATCAAAACCTTCAATCGAATTTAATATTTAATTTTTTG